CGATCCTTCCGCCTCAGCCTTCCAAGTAGCCGGAATTACAAGCATGTGCTACCACGCCCGGCTGATTTTTTGATTTATTGTAGAGGTGAGGTCTCGCTGCCCAGGCGGGTCTCGAGCCCGAAGGCTCAGGCAATCCACTCACCTCAGCCTCCCAAAGGCGCGGGATTACAGGCTGAGCCACTGAGCCCGGCTTCTTAATGGTTTTTTTAAAGGTTGGTGGTACTCTATTTGTAGCACTGTATACACAGGATGCTTAACAAGTTGTATGTAATTGAGTCAATTAATCAGTTTATTTAATGAGAGTCACTGCTAATGTATAGTTAAGACAAATGCTTGCCTACAAATGGACCAGTTTCTACTTAGGTGAGTACACTGTTATCCTTTATCCTAAGGTTTAACTCTGGCTAGGTAGGTTGATACTTAAGTGAAAACAAAGTATGCACTTTTCTTTCTATGGAAAGTAATAGATTAAGTCATCGTGGCTATCAGTAGTCTACAATGAGCATTGTTTCCTTATAAAGAGGATTGCAATCTCAGAGACATTGGAGCACGCACTAGTGGAGGAAAGGGATGAAGGGGCATTTTCCCAGATCACATGAGTGAAACAGTATGGCCTGCATTGGAAGAGGTATTGGCACTTGTGTTTCAAAATGCTTTGTGGGATCTCCCACATCAGAATAGCCTTAACTTACTGAATTAACACTTCAGAGTGGGGCCTGGGCATCAACATTTTAACAAGCTTACCAAATGAGTCTTAGATAGTTTTAAAGTATGGTAACCACACTCTTTGCCAGTCATCAACCACATGATTTTATCAGCAGATATGCCACCCCCTGAGTCTTATACACTCTTAATCAGAGATGAATCCGTGGGCTCTAAAGACTAAAGACAATTCTTTTCAGAATTTGGGAATTTCTTTCAGCAAAATGGAGTGAATTGTTGAACTAAATGGCATCAAAGAATTTTTTAATCAAGAGAATAGTTATTAGTCTCTTAATGTTCACATTTTTAGCTAAGCATCGTTGACATCTGTATAGAGAAAGCAATTATGGAAAATTGTACTATTCTAACAGGTCATGGTAATGCTTTTCAGGGAACAGGCAAAAGTTTGCCTTCAAAACAAAAGTAGGATCTTAAACTTTGAAATCTTGAATAAGCATCTCCACCTTCTTCAGGATCTGTAGCTTATGTCTCCTCTTTGAAGAGACTTTGTACTGAAATGAAAATTTAAATAGTCTTAATAACTGCCTCCCAAAAGCAGTGGGTTTCATTTGCTTTTGCCAATGCCTGGTGATATTGTCCTATTTTTTTTTCTTTTTTTTTGAGTTGGAGTCTCACCCTGTCGCCCAGACTGGAGTGCAGTAGCACACTCCCGTCCACCGCAGCCTCCACCTGCTGGGTTCCGGTGATCCTTCTGCTTCAACCTTCCAAGTAGCTGGACCTACAGGCATGCGCTACCACGCCTGGCTAATTTTTTGATTTATCGTAGAGATGAGGTCTCGCCAAGTTGCCCAGGCGGGTCTTGAACCTACGGGCTCAGGCAATCCACTCACGTCAGCCTCCCAAAGCGCGGGATTACAGGCTGAGCCACCAAGCCCGGCTGAAATTGTCCTATGTTATCTGTAGTTAGCTGCGGTTGATTATGTTGATAACTGAAAATAGTACAAGACTATAGAGATAAATATCATGAAGAATAATTTTAGGACAGATTTTTTTTCCCAGCTGGGCATGGTGGCATGTGCCTGCAGTCCCAGTGACTCAGGAGGCTTAGGTGAGAGGATTGCTTGAGCCCAGGAGTTCAAGACTAACCTGGACAGCATAGTGAGATCTCTATCTCAAAAAAGAAAATAAAAGAACAGTTTTTTTTCTCCCTCAGCATTATTGATATTTTGGGATAATTTTTTGTTATGGGGGGGCCTTCCTCTGCATTATAGGATGTTAGCAGCATCTTTGGCCTCTACCCATTAGATGCCAGTAGAACCCTGGGAGTCAAAATTGCTCTGGGTTGATTGAGAATTATTCCCTTAGAAGCATTATATGATTATTAGGCTTACATAATGAGTATATAGTCAGTAGTCATTTTTAAAGAATTTGTTATTATTTAAAAGCATAAGTACAGATGTAGTAAGAAAAAATTCATTTATATTACTTTAATTTATTTTTTAAATTGTGGTATTATTTACTTACAAAAGAGTTCTCAATTCTTAAGTCTTCAGTTTGATAATTTCTGGCAATTGTGTTTTAGTCTGTTTTTAAGAGTAAATTAGAGGCCAAACACAGTGACTTAATGCCTATAATCCCAGCACTTTGGGAGGAGAAGGGAGGATTGCTTGAGCCCAGGAATTCGAGACCAGCCTGGGCAACATAGCAAGATTTTGTTTCTACAAAAAATAATAATAATAATAACGTAGCCTGGCATGGTGATATGCGCCTGTAGTGCCAGCTACTTGGGAGACTGAGGCAGGAGGATTGCTTCAGCGTAGGAATTTCAGGTTGTAATGAGCCATGATCATGCCACTCATTCCAGCCTGGGTGACAGAGAGAACCCTGACTGAAAAAAAAAAGAAAAAAAAAAGAATAACAACTTCATTTTCTCTTTATTGTTGAAGCAAGACTTTACAGAAAGTATTTTCAATAAATAGTCCCAATTTTTTTTTTTAAAGAAAGGCTAAATCTGGGTGTATGAATATCCCGTTAACAATACCTCTAAAAATAAAGTGATGATAACTGAGTATACTATTAGGTTTTCACCTTGGTGGGAAACTGTATAAACCCTATCAGTGTTTGTTCTATGTACAGAAGGCTCTTGGGTTTTCATTAAAGAATACTTGACTCACACAGTCTACCCAGAGACCCACAAAACCACACAGCAGTCATTTTAAACACTTCCAATGGTAGCCTCAAAAAAAGTGCATCAGAGTTTTTTTTTCTTTTGTGTAATTTGAAAACAGGATCGGAGTGAAATCAGTCTTGAGACAAATGGGTCACAGTGGCTAAAATAAAAATTGGTGGTTTTAGATAAAGAATACCACTTCTACAAGATTCTCCTTGTAGAGATCAGAAACATAAATTCCCATATGCTGATAACAATGATCTATGTAACTTCTTTCAGGCATGACAGATATCTATATCTTGTGCTTCCTATTTGGATTCTGGCAGGTAGATGAACTCTATGAAGCTTATTGTATCCAACGACGCCTCCAGGATGGTGCCAGCAAAATGAAGCAAGCATTTGCCATGTCCCCCGCCAGTAAAGCAGCCCGTGAGAGTCTGTCAGAGATCAATCGGAGCTACAAAGAGTACACAGAGGTATTAGCTGCTTGCCTGCTTAGTGCTGAACCCCACTGGGCCTGGTGTGAATTGTTGGTAATTTCTAAGAACCAGAGAACAGCAACCCACAACCTCATTCCCATTCTCTAGAGAGATAAGCTTTACTGTTACCCTCAAAAGTAAGCAAAAGAGGCAGTTAATGAATGATTAAACCAGGCATGGTGGCACATGCCTGTTGTCCAAGTGACTCAAGAAGCTGAGACATGAGCCGGGTGTGGTAGCGCCAGCCTGTAGTTCCAGCTACTTGAAAGGCTGAGGTGGAAGGCTCGCCGGAGCCCAGCAGGTCGAGGCTGTGGTGGCTGGGAGCATGGCACTACACTCCAGCCTGGACAACAGAGTGAGATTCCAACTCAAAAAAAAAAAAAAGCTGATACAGGAGGATTGCTTGAGCCCAGGAGTTTGAGCCTGCAGTGAGCTATGATTGCACCACAAGAGCAAGACCCTGTCTCTTAAAAAGTAATATTAAAATAAATGAGTAAGCCATAGTGCTATGATTTTTGTCACTTAAGTGCACTTCCAAATATTTTAGTGTACAATCTAATCTAGCTTTGTCCCTGGGAGTTGAACAGACCCTGTGGTTCAGATGGCTATGCTGGATGTCAGTATTGGATATCAGTAACTCTTCTGCCTACAATTGTGTGTGTGAGAGAGAGAGGGAAATTTTTATCTTAAAGGAGACAAGATGTAAGAAAAATTAACAGAAGTGTGCTTCCCTGGTTTCTGACTTTGAGACCCAAGCATCTGACACAGAAAGTTCTTCACTCCTCCTGGGGTCACCTAATACCAATGTCTTTGATGAAATAACTGAATTATTAAAGCAACACTTCTCACTATCTCATGAGTCTTTGTTCAGAGATCAGATTTCATAAGTGAAGTCATCAGCCTGAGGAGGGTCTGTTGGACAATTCCCAGAGTGGAGCATCTGTCTCAGCCCTGGGACTGGAGGGACCTCTTGGATGCCTTTCAGTGGGATCACTTTGTGTGTTTGCTCATGTTGCCTTTTGTCTGAACCAAGTCTCTTTTCAAGACTTAAAACAGGCCTTCTTAACCTAAATTTCTCCTTTCAGAATAATGTCTTTCAAATACATAAAATATATAGGATTAGAAATAAAAAAGTTATATTGCAATACAGTTATTTCAATCTTAGCAATACAATTGTCAAACTATTTTAAGAGTCAAATATGCGATATAGTACTATGCTGCCCCTTAAATAACAAATCAAATTACAAGATGTAGCAGTGGTTTTAATAAGTACTGAAACTTAATAGTAGTAAAAAGTATAAATGATTTTTTTAAAGTCATTTGCCACACATGATGTGACATGAACATATATGTGATTTCCATCAGTGTCAAAATCACAGGTATTACCAATACTGCTGTGGCTTGTCTTCTACATTCATATGTAGACATGGTTAGTTTTAATTAGAGGTTACTGAAAATTAAGATCTGACTCTTCCTACACCCCCGCATTCAAGTTTTTAGACTCACAGTTTGAAAAGCCCTAGCTTAGAAGCAACTCTTGTTCATGAAACCCCATTTCTATAGGTCTCTGAAATCAGAAGAGTCATTTCCAATTATAGAGACTGTTTATAGTACAAACACAGATAACTGACCAGCAGCATGCAGAAGCTGCCTGTACTGGAATGTTTGCAGATCGTTTCAGAATAACCACTCTTGGTCAAGTGCCAAGGCAGGGTATCACGACTTTGCTAGCAAATTCAAAGATATAGAGTACAATTTCAGCACAAGGAAAGGATGCCTTACGGAAGAAGGAAATCCGGGACTTCAGTAGCTGTACCTCACTTGACATCAGGTGGCTTCATATCTTCACATAACCACAAAAGCCAGGATTTTATCATGGCGATGCTTTAAAATAAGGATTTAACAACGAGAGCAAGAGGCTCAGGGGGCCTTTGCATGAGCAGCAATGTTCATCAATGACTGCATGGGTGAGAACATTTGGCCATGGGTGTCTTCAACTCAACCCAGTTGCCCTCAAGTATTTTGAAGATACTGGTAGCAATCCTGACATACACGATAACATAGTTGATATTTCTGGAAAACTATAATGCATTCCTTCACAGAGATACCCAGCACTCTGAGGAAGTAAACTGATTTACAGTACTGAGAGTTGGCTTCAGGACATTTTCTCCAAGTTTGCTAAGCTGTTTGAGGTACTGAGAACTTACATGGGAAAAGGCAATGCCATTCCCTTTGCATTCCACGAGAGAGATCATTTGGAGCAGGACAAAGAAATAAATAGGAATCAGAAGCTCTAGCTTTACAAATCCAGTCTGCAGTCCTCAGCATATATTCAGATGGTAGTGATACCTGCTAGTGATGACTGAGCTGGCATGCTTTAGTCAGATCAGTCACCCCCAAGCCCCCAGACTTGATGGCGGCTGGCTACTAAGGGAGATGCCACCCAGCACCATGCTTTAATGGAGACTGCTACTTAGTATAGCAGAGGTGACACCCAAAGCAGAGGTGACACCCAAAGCTGGTCAAGCAGCAGAAGGGCCTTGTTGGGGATGGCCCCTGGCCACAGCACTTTCCCTTTCGTTTTCTAACTCCTCTTGCTCTATTTAGGTTCTCAGATACTGAGGAAGTCAGGTGAGAGTCGTTATATATCTAACCACATGTGTAGATGATGTTGCTCCTTCTACCTATGCTGTTCCATCAGCACTGGATTGAGAGGATGACCCTTGTCAGAACCAGAAATCATTTTTGGGATGCCATGTCATTGCAGCAGAAAGTCTGCCCCACCCACTTGAGCAGAATTCAGCTCCTGTGCTCTTTTGGCTCCAAATTTTTATTAAGAAAAATGTCAAACCTACAGAAAAGTTGGAAAACTAGTATGTTGAACACCATATATCTTTGTCTAGATTTACCAATTGATAACATTTGGTCATATTTGCCTTTCTTCCTCTCTCATATGCTCAATTTTTTTCCAAGTCATTTAACAGTAGGCAGTAGACATCATGACATTTCACTCCATAAATATTTTAGCATGGATCTCTTTTTTAAAATTGTAATTGTAATTAAGTAAAAGTTGTATATATTTATGGTGTACAACATGATGTTTTGAAATACTTACACATTGTGGGATGGCTAAATCAAGCTATTTAATATATAGCATGGATCTCAGTAGTAACCTGTTGTAACATGTACATCTTCTAATAGCCGTATACCATTATCACAACTAGGAAAATTAACAGTCTTTTATAGAATTATCTAATATATTGTCCATTTTCAATTTTTTCCCTGTTTGGCCCAATATTTTTTTTATAACTGTTTGGGTTTACTTGCTTATCTTTCAAATCAGGACATGATCAAGGTTAAGGTATTGCATTGTTTATTGTGTTTCTTTAGTATCTTTATCTAGAATTTTTTCCCCCAGGATATTGTCTTTTTGTAGAACCAGGCCATTTCCTCTGTAGTATCCCACATTCTGGATTTGTCTATTTTTTAAAATATAATTTGACATGTTCATCTATGCCCTAAATTTCCTGCCCACTAGAAGTCTTGCTCAGACTCAGATTCAATATTTTGTCAAGAATGTTTCGTAAGCCATGCTGTGTATAGCAAACAGGTAAATGTCTCCTGTTGTTCATGTAATGGTTGTCTGCCACTGGTCAAATGTCACATACTTTGAGCAGTTAGTGAGAGAAGACTGGCTCTCATGCCCACCTCCTGTTCTCTTCACAGAATATGTGCACCATCGAAGCGGAGCTAGAGAATCTGCTGGGGGAATTCTCCATCAAGATGAAAGGTATTTTCTTTTCCCTGTTTGGAGAGAGTTAGGCGCTATCTCTGTGGAGCACAGAGCTCCTTGAAGTTTGAGAGCATAAACTATTTTTATTTTCCTTGCAAAGACACTGTGCCACCCACTCTCAGTCCTCCCTATTTATACTAGTTTATTGATTCTTCTCGTCCTGAAATTTACCTACACACTTAAAAAGATATAATCATGACAGAATCTCAAACATACACAAAAGTGGAAAGAACTTTACAATAAACCCCCATAAACCTGTCACCAATATCTAATAATTAGAAAGATTTTGTCACATTTGCTTTATCTGTTTTCCTTTGTTTTTTCTTTGACGAAAGAGAAGTCCTTTGGTGAACTAAAACCCAGTTATGTCAGCTTGCCCCTGCATACTTCAGTATGAATCTCTTAGAGAACGTTTTCTTATATAACCACATGACAAGTACATTCTCACATCTAACAAAAATAATAAGACTTTGTTATTAACCCATTCCATTATCAAATTTCTCCACAGTCTCAAAAATTTGCACATTTTGTTAGTTCAAATTAGGATCCATACAAGGTCCATACATTATAATTGATTGTCAGGTACCTCTTTTAGATTTTATTTCATCTAAAACAAGTTCTTCCTCTCTTTTTTTCTACTATTGGCTCATAGAATTCATTGTTGTGCAGAATATCCCAGTTCTAGTTTTGTCTGTTGGCTTCTTTGTGGTGTTATTTAAACTGATCCTTTACCCTTCATGTTTTTAGTGAACTACCTAAGAATTTTGGTGTTAAACCCACCAGGGACTATGCCTTTTCTCTGCTTTTTCCTTAGTGCTTTTCTGGTATTCCAGAAAATTCCAGTCTAGAAGCATTATTGATTTATACACAGCATCTTTAGAACAAAAAGGAATTCTGGTTTTAGAAAATGGAGCATAACCCAGGTATTGTCAGATTTACAGCTCAGCAGCCAGGCATGGCTGTCAAATAAGCAGCCATCACAGCAGGTCAATTCTTTTTTCCAAGTTTTGGCCGATTTGACTGCAATAAAGAGGGCTGGTGTTTTGCATTTCTTTTTCTGAGGTTTTTTAACAGCTTGATCCCTGGTTGCTAATGGGGATTTAATCACTCTCTTGTCTACTTTCTGCAATTAAGGGAGTAAAGACCGAGACTTTTTTTTAAAAAGGACTCAACAGGAGAGTTTCATTTTCTAATGAGTCATCTAACTCAGGAGGGAAATTATTCTGTTAAGTACTAAACGTGACATGTGAGATCCTCTCTGAATGAGTATACCTGGAATAACAATGATCTTGACCCTTAGCTTCCCAAATGGCTGCAGTTTTCCAGTAAATCTGGTAGGGAATCTGTTTATTATTCAGTGTTAAATCTCAACACCTTGCTACTGAGTCCAGCATCTGTACTTTTCAGTTTTTAGGTCCATTCTTTTAATTTGGGGTCCTCACCTAAGTCAGTGGTTCCCAAACCTCTCAGACCTAGAGTGGGACCCTGGTATGTGTGTGTGTGTGTGTGTGTGTGTGTGTGTGTGTGTGTGTGTGTGTGTGTGTGTGTTTCAACTTGTGGAATGATTCTTTCAGCAGCCTGATTGTGGAAAACTGCCCTGAATCAGTATTGAGCAGAAAATGCTTCCTTCTACTTCTCCAACATTCGGGCACCACCTACACAGACTAGTGCAGTCATGGGAGTCTCACAGGCTAAAAGGAATTCAAGTCATGCACATCTTTTTTTAAATGTTTATTACTCAAAAAAAGCTTCATTTTAAGAAAAAATTAGCTTTCTGACTCTGTGCTTATGCCTTCAACACTTTCGCAATGATTTTTTGCTCCTCCTCAGGAATGGACACTAATCCAGTCATGAACACATTTAGCATGCATAAAACCACCATGGGCCCGCCTGATGTGTTTTTTCATTTTGAATGACCTCATAAAAACTTTAAGTCTCACAACATGAACCCTTCAAAGTCTGCCTGGGCATATACCATACGCAGATATTGGTGCTTTCCCAACCTTCTTGGTATATAGGTAAACAATTCTATTACCAAGGGCTCGGGACACCCTAGTTATGTTAGAGGCTGTATCGTAGCCTACAAAAGTATGTCAGATGCTGGATCACCCTGTGTGCCTTTAGATAGTGTCCCTGGAAGAAGAAAAAGGAATAAGTCATGTACATCTTATCACTGTTAATAGACAATTGCTGTATTTCTACTATTTCAGATGCTCGCTATTATCAAATGCATCTACTTTGGTAGAATGGTAATTTCCCCATTTTATAGGTGGGAAATGGGGGCCCAGAGAAATTCAATGTCTTGCCCCAGGAACCACCCAGTAGGTTGAAGTCAAACTTGAAACCAAATTTCAATTCTCTTGGCTCCGATTGCATTCCTACCTCCAAGCCCATATTCTGAGGGAAGTTCTAACAGCTGAGCTGATACTATAAACCGTTTTGTCAAAGAATGGTCTCTCTTTGGAAGGATCCTCTTCAGCCTAGCACATAGGCACCCTGTGGGAGGGGGACTAGGGGAGAGAGACCACCCACAGGCCAGATCTGGAGCCTTAAGCCTGGCATTCGGTGAGAGGATGACGGTGGGGGCCTGACATCCACTGGGGGACCTGGCTACCTACCCAGCTACGTAATAGTGCTGGAGTGTAACGGGCTATCTTGATGGACTGACTGACTTTGTTTTGCTCCTGCTCTTCATTCTATACCCTGTCTCTATTGTTCCCTTCCACCTGAACTTGCAGTTTTTTTCTACAGGCTCTTTCAAACTTAAAACTGATTTGCCTTCTCATTGATAGACTTCTGTTACCTCCACTTTCCTAATCTAACATGAAAACTCAGAAACTACATTTGTGAAACTTTTCAAGGGTAACACTCCCATGAAAATCTTTGTCTTCCTCCAGAAAGAGAAAAGGAAACCCTCCCATTCTTCCAAGAAGCCCAATGTCTTTGCAAGTAACTGTTTATCTGCTACTCATTCTGTTAAAACTACTTCCAACATACTTATTGGCAAACTGAGACTATTTCATAATGCTCTCAGATCTGGCAACCCCTCACTTCCTCCCGTCACACTTCTCTGTTTGTCCCACCCCCAACACTAAACAATAACCTTGAGGGGTGAGGAAGTAGGTGATAATGATATAGGGAATAGAGCAAGCAACAACACTAGATCAGTTTCCTTTTAATCATTCTTCCATTGTAATTACACAGATAAACAGGCAATGGATTAATCCTGAACTCATTTGTAGAGGTTTTTAAAGAGCACTTTGGATTTTATTAGAATTAGCATGTCCAGTCTGGTATTTATAAAAGCCAGTCAATTGTGCTTTCTTTCCAAAGTGATTTTTTTAAAGACTAATTAAATGCTCCAGAAAATTATTAGTGAAAATAGATTTCTTTAATTCTGCTCTTATTTCAGTAAGCCTTCTTAAGTAGCTTGTTATGTTCTAATTATTAATGAAAGCTGTTCCTAAATGAGTTGGCTCTGTGGGTAGGAAGGCATGACGAACTGGTGACTTGCTGCCATCTACTGACGGCTCATGGTAACATCAGGTGCCTTTTTAAGCATCCCGGGACCTTGCTATCATCTGGCCCAGGCAATGTCCATGGGTCAGGTGAAAGCAGGTTTGTTCATTCAAGAGACTCACAAATTATTAACCACCCTATTCATAGAAGGCAAAACACATTGATATGACAGCAGGCAACATATGCCTGGGCAGCCTAGTGACTTGGGGTGGGGGGAAGGAGCGCTGGATTCTCTTTGTCCCATTGTTGCCACCCAGAGGTCAAGACAAACACTCCCTGGGCTACCCCCTCCCACTGTCAATGCCCCCATAGGCTTTCCCATCCCCATCATTTTCATGTGGGTGAAATAATGTTTAAATGATTATTAAAACAACCCAGGATGTAAAGGTTATAAGTGGCAAGTTGAGGAGGCTGAGGAGCCAAGGAATCAGTTTGTCATACAAATGTCTTTGTATGTGAGGGAATCGAAGAACCGCATAGCTGTTTTTGTAACAGCCAATCAAAATTGTCCACTTTCAGGTTGCCTCTATGAAATTACTGGGAAACAAAGGAAAGATTGTTCATGTCTTCTTGAATCGGTTTAAACATTTTGAAAGTAGTACCTTCATGTCTTCTTGAATCGGTTTAAACATTTTGAAAGTAGTACCTTCCTGTTTTTTTAAATATTAAGATAACAAAAAATTAAAATCATACACAATCCCTCCTCCCAGTGCTAAACTTTGTTAAAAACATCATAAATACCCAATGACCTTCTCTGTGTGTATATCCTACCTACCAGCTTGTATAATCTTTTTCATATCTTTTTTCTTTTTTAATCACAAAATAAATAAATGATATTTTTAAAAATCAAATAAAAATGATAATGTCAAAAACATAACTTTTCCCAGAATCTATGCTATCAGAGATAATTATTTTTAACAGTTTTGTATTTTCTTTAGACTTTTTTTCCTGTGGGTACATTTACATATAGTTTAGGTCATACTCTATATTAGGTTGTGTTCTGCCTTTTTTTTTTTTTTAACTTAATATTACATTATAAATATTTCCTTTTATTAAAATTTCACTCTAAATACTTGTACTGAATTCTTAATTGGAATTTTTATTTTAAAATTGTATTGAGTTTTTTTCATCAAAAATATTTAAAAATAATACAGATTTTTACCCATTTTTATGAAATATATTTTGTTTCTTGATTAAATCTTACAGTCTTTAGGGCTCTATGAATGTAAAGGGCTTTGCTTTGTGATTGGAACAGAAACCACGAACAATGACTAAAGCCAGAAACAACTGATTAAGGTCAAACTGGGGTCACTAAGAAGCTTATTGATGAGCTTAGTTTCCTCATTAGTTACATACCTGTGACTTGCATCCCCTCCTCCCCTCACCTTTATTCAACCTGACACACAGTAGGCATTCAGGAAATGTTGTTGAATGCTCACATGCCATTTGTACACCCCATCTTCATTTTACTGTGATGAAATTCTGTTGTTCACATGTAACTTTTCTCCATTAAATGAGCTGTCTCTTTAAAAAAAGTTTTAATTATGTAAGTAATACATTTTCATAAAAATACAAAATGCAGAAAAAAAGCAAAGATCTCCTCCTGTCTCTCCATCGTTGTGTCATAGCCACAATAGAAAATATCCCACTCCTGGCTATTCAATCATTATCACATATTAAGTACCTAATATGTGCAAGATATCTTTGTTGTCCTTACAACTGATGCTATGAACTAAATATGTTATCCCTATTTTAAAGGTGAAGAAACTGAGGTTAAGTAAATTATTTGGAGTAGGCTAACTGGTAAAGAAAACAGAAATAAACCTTGGGTTTAATCCTTCTTAACTGCCCGCAGGTTCTTGTCTGTTTCATTCCTGTAGGTTTTAACCATATTTTGTTCTATACTATGGGTGACTATAAATCTTTCTTAATTTCTAAGTTATATACCTAATGCCTAGCATAGACCCTACCATACCCAGTGGATTTTCAATAAATATCTATGGGAAGAAAAAAAAAGATAGATCAAACCCAGAATTTCTGAGATGCCCCAAGATAGTGGCTGTGTAGTCTAACAAGATGTGTTTTTGCTGCTGCACCAGATAGATATCATACTGGATCTCAAACTGAGCTCATTTAGTTAGAAATGACTTGCTGGATGGCATAGTTGAAGTCACTTCTTCATATTGGGGGTGTGGGTGTTGTCATGTGTTTGGTTGGCTTGATTTTATGTTAGTCACTAGTTTGTGTAAATGAGTAGTCATTTTCTGTAGATGCTATCATTATGCTGGATAAAAAGGGATAAGGAAAAAAGAGGAAAAGTGAATTGGGGAGAGGCAAGGGGAGTAAGTACGTGGAATCTTAGCTCAAGCGGAAGACACTTGGAAATCACAACTCTTAAGGACTGGGTGCAGTTGGCTCACACCTGTAATCCCAGAACTTTAGGAGACTGAGGCAGGAGGATCACTTGAGTTGAGGAGTTAGAGACTAGCCGAGGCAACATAAGGAGATCTTATCTCGACAAAAAAAAAAAAAAAAAATTAGCTGGGTGTAGTGGTGCACACCTATAGTCTCAGCTACTTGGGAGGCTGAGGCAGGAAGATGATTTGAATCCAGAAGTTTGTTTTAGGCTGCAGTGAACTTGCCCTGCCCCAGAAACCACCTCTCCCATCATCCCACAGAATGTCCTCTCTAGCTATGATAGATGGAATTCCCAAAAAAACCATTCCTCACAGATGGCCCCCAAAATGGGATGTGAGTTTACACAAAGGTCTGACACTTCACTTGAATTTTTAAAATGTGCCAGCATGGATCTGTAAAGAGGGGTAGACCTGATCCTCACCTCATTTCCCTATTGCTCGCTTACAGGTCTGGCCGGCTTTGCTCGCCTCTGTCCTGGAGATCAATACGAAGTAAGTATTGTCCCTGTCTAGGTGTTGGGATTGAGGACTTGAAGGCCAGGGGCCAGTTGTTGTTATTTTGCTTCTTACATTGTCTCTTTTTAAAAAAATATTTAGTTTTGAAAAACATTTTAAGCCAATGAGAAAGTTTGGAAGTTGGTACAAGATTTCCCATATACCCTTGTTTTATAGTCACCACTTTTTAATATTGTGCCACATTTGCTTTTTAAAAATATAATTATTATCATTGTTATTATTTGCTGAACCATTTTAGAGCAAGATGCAGACACCATGACTTTTTATCCCTAAATTCTTCTAAGAATGAAAAGACATTCTCTCACATAAGCATTGCACAGTCCTCAACACCAGCAAGCTTGACCTGGCCCTTTAGCAAATGTCGCCTGATATCGCACCAAGTGTCCCAATTTTGTACTAGGTAGCAGTTTTTTTCCCTAATCCCAAGATCCAATCCAGAATCATAAATACCATGACTGAAGAATAATAACATATAGATCTTTCTTTATAAAAAATATACCCCATTAAATAACGAAAGCCTTTGTTCTTGTCCCTCTTCAAAAGAGAACTTAATAAATCCATCTAGCTGTCTCCTCCAGAACCCTCTAAAATCATACCTCTTGGTGGAAGCGGGGGTGTACTTTTCCCTAAACATTAAAGCAGTCTGACTAGGGAGAGACTGCACAGCTTCTCCCCAGAGTATGTTGGATTTTAAAGTCCTCATGCAGCCCAATCTCTTTCATACAGAGGGAGACTGTCTTGGTTTCTTCTGATTGTGAATTAGGTTTTAACTGATGGCTCCTCATCTCCCCAAAGGAGCTGGGGCGGGTGGAGAATTGATCCCAATGACTGTTCTATTGAAGCAGAACTAACAAGAGAAAAGTGTTTGACAAGAATGAGCAGCAGGGCACAGTGTGGTGACCTTTTACTAAAGAAACCCCTCCACCCCCTCTGTTTCAGAGAAGCAGAACTTACTTTCCTTTAAAGGCCTCTTTCTCACTCATTATCAGCTCCACCAAGACCCAGGAGTAAGGGGGTGGGGTGAGGGTGATGAAGAGAGTGGCAGTGGCTTTATGTCCTTGCCCTCTTGATCTTGGTGTTCCGGTAGAGAAGTGGGGAGTGGAACACCAGGGCCGTTGCCTGTCCCCTTTCCAGATTTTCATGAAGTATGGCCGGCAGAGGTGGAAACTGAAAGGCAAGATAGAAGTAAATGGCAAGCAGAGCTGGGATGGAGAAGAAACGGTCTTCCTGCCCCTGATCGTTGGGTTCATTTCCATCAAGGTACAGTATTGTCATTGACTGTTGCTGTCTTCCCTGGTGCCATGGTGGATGGTCCGTTGGTGGATCCGTGACTTCTGCCTGCTGCCCCTTTGTCCAGCAGACCTCTCTACACCATGAGCCCATTACACAGACAGCTGCTCTCACCCCCGAGTAGACAAAGTCAATGTAAGATAGGCCTTTGAAATATCCACCTCTGGTTTCAGACATGATTCTGAAAGAAATGACCGACTGGCTCAAAAAGAAGGAAAAAGGACAGAGTACCCTCCTCCTCCCCTCTGCTGTGATGTAAGGCCTTTCCACCAACTCTCTCTGATAGGTCACGGAGCTCAAAGGACTAGCAACTCACATCCTGGTGGGCAGTGTGACCTGCGAGACCAAAGAGCTGTTTGCAGCCCGACCCCAGGTGGTGGCTGTCGACATCAATGACCTTGGCACCATCAAACTGAATCTGGAAATCACCTGGTAGTAAGTTGCCCTTCCCTTTGGACTTTATCATGTAGGAGTATCTGCCACTGGCTAGTACTGCTCCGAGCTGGTGTGTGGACCATCAGCATCACCAGAGAATGCATTGGGAAAGCAGAATCACAGGCCCTGCCCCAGACTGATAGTGTCAGAATCTCTCAGGCCCAAGAATCTGTTTAGCAGACTCACCAGGTGATGTGCACACATGTTAAAGGTGGAGGAGCCTGGGTCATATCATGATTCTCCCCTTTTGCTTGCTGTCTTAAAATAGTTTATTCTAAGCTGGGCTCAGTGGCTCAGCCTGTAATCCCGTGCCTTGGGAGGCTGAGGTGAGTGGATTGCCTGAACCCTCGGTTTCGAGACCCGCCTGGGCAACTTTGTGAGACCTCATCTCTACAATAAATCAAAAAATTAGCTGGGCATGGTAGCGCATGCCTGTAATTCCAGCTACTTGGAAGGCTGAGGTGGAAGGATCGCCGGAGCCCAGCAGGTCGAGGCTGCGGTGGCTGGGAGTGGCCACTGCACTCCAGTCTGGGCGACAGAGTGAGGCTCTGACTCAAAAATATATATATATATATATTTTTTTTATTGTTGTTGTTCTGCCTCCTTCCCTCTCTGCCTTTAAATAAACTCAAGTAAACTCATCTGAGAAGAAAACAAATGCCCAATATAATTTTCCCTCAGAAAGATCCTGATCCTCACTATGGTGCTTTAATTGCTTATCCCTCTTCTTCTCAGATACTTCATGCTGCTCTGAAAAATTATGAATATCCTTAGTTCCTCTGCACTCTGTTTACTGAAGTAGAATATTTCCAAAGGGCAAGAGAAATCTTTTGTCAAAGCAATGAACTTAAAAGTGTTTTTCCAAGCTGGGTGCAGTGGCTCAAAACTTTGAGGTCAAGGTGGGAAGATCACCTGAAGCCAGTAGTTTAAGGTTGCAGTAAGCCAAAATCGCACCACTGTACTCGAGGCTGGATGAAAGATTGAGACCTCATCTGTTAAAAAAAAAAAGGTGGTTTTCCAAAGCTACACCATGAGAAAAGTCATGACAAGTTATTAGCACTGGTAACTCACATTTGATATTATGTCCCTGTTATAATATGGGGTAAATAAAACATGTTGAGTATTAACATTCTTGGCCTCATATACACCAAAGAGAGTCAGGTATAGAAGCAGCAAAGATGCTGCTGCCTTTGTCATCAGCGGCACCCTTGGCCCAGCCCTTCCTCCTCATAATCTGTAGTCATTGACATCTCAGATGCAAGATCATTCTTCTTGCTGGGTGACTCGGATGTTGTGATGATAAGTGGCATCATTGCAAACAGACTGTTATTCTCTTCTCAGTCACGCAAGAGGCTCTGTGTCAGCTGAAATGAATAGGATTCGATTTTTGAGTGTTTTCTCTAGAACTGAACAATTGTCTGTTAATCTCTTATGCCCTTAAAATATCTAGTCCAGCAAAGCTCAAAGAACTTTTACAGACCTTTTCAACAACTTGTAATGTTGAAGCAAGCATTAATATGTTTATGTTTGTAATGATAATGAGGAACAGACATGTCTAGGTGTATGGATAAATTGTGCATAAAGATGTGTTATTAATCTTTGATCCCTTGGGTGAATCTAGACTCAGTTTTTTATTTGGGTTTATTTTCTGACAAACCAGTTTAGCCAAAACCAGCCCTGTTCCCACTAGTTTGAGTTTACTTTGCTATAATGGGGTGCTGTCTGGGCCTGCAGTCCATTGATTGTAGGTGATTTTACCAAAAGAGGTATATGGGAACCTGTTGTTTTGCAGTCCATTTGATGTAGAGGACACGACACCATCCTCAGGTGCTGGAAACAAGGCGGCAGCCCTTCAGAGGAGAATGTCCATGTACAGCCAGGGCACCCCGGAAACGCCCACCTCCAAAGATCACTCCTTCTTTGTAAGTTCAGTGTGATTTCTGGAGTAGAATCAATACACCTGAACCAGTGCTTGCTCCCAGTGTTTGAAATGCATAACAGACTGTGTTAGGAGTTCTCCATGATTCCTTCAGAGGTGGTGCGCCTCCTCTGTCTTCCCTCTCCCCTCTTCTGCTTTACCTATCACTTGAATGAAAACATGTAGACTTTTCTGAACATTCTAAAGTGGATATAAATAATGACCTCCTTGTTTTAATCAGAAATGCTTGCTACAAAGCTAACAAAACGTGGTAACTTGATTCTTCCCACTAACTCCCCTGTCTTGCTTTCACTTCTGAAGAGGTGGCTGCATCCTACCCCAGACAAGCCAAGGCGGCTGTCTGTCTTGAGTGCCTTGCAAGACACTTTCTTTGCCAAGCTGCACCGCAGCCGCTCTTTCAGTGACCTGCCCTCCCTCAGGCTGAATCCCAAGGCCGTGCTAGAGCTCTATGTGAGTGTGGCCTGCGCGGGTGTGGAGTGCTTACTTCGGGGGCTTGTGGCATGTATGCTTCTGCATGTCTTTTGGTGTGTCTTCTCTGTCCTGCTCACTGGATGATGGTTACAGCTGTCCTGTCCTTGAGTGGGGAAACTCAGCCGTGCATGCAGCTATGTTAGAAAGGCAGTCTGTCTTTCTCTTTTAATGATTCCAGTTTTTGTGCTGTGATATTTTCTCCTCTGTGGCAAGGATATCCATGGTAACAAGATTTTCATTTTTAAAAACTACAGTTTTTAAGGCCAAAGAAGATTTTATTTCAGAAGGTAAATGCATGCTAGCCTTTCAACAACTGGCATTCAAGAAACTCAGAAGGTTTTGAACCAATTTTACTAGAGTTATTTTTACTTGAATAGGGTCTCCATCTTAGTTTACTGTAGTGTTGGTTAGTTCTATAATACATCAGTAAAAGAAACCCTTGATTTACAGGAATACGATAGGCATCCTTCATTATATGTATTATGCTTTATGTCACAAGAGGACACACACACACACACACACACACACACACACAGAGAGAGAGAGAGAGAGAGAGAGAGAGAATATTCTGCCCTTCACAGACATAGAAAAGAGATCTTTGAATGTCCACAAAGGAAGGAATTAAAAGTCTCTGGTTAATAATAATAATAATGTCTTATTTATTGAATTAAGAAACACAGGTGAAAAGCACCAGGTTAAACTGTAGTGGAACTTCAAAAGAAAATGGGAAGAATGTATGGAGGAGAGATACATGAAAATGTGTACCAAAACACAAAGGGCTAATACAGTTGAACATGTAACTATCAATGTCATGTGTGTGTTCATGCTCATGTGCAGGTTGGAAGGTTGTAGGGGAAGGTTTAATAGCCTAATTTAAACAAGAACACAATTATTCAAAAGTCAGATGACTTCCTTTGGATAAACGCAAAGGTCCTCAGAATGGATGTTCCCATCGGACCACAGCCCTCCTCAGGCCTGGCTCACCTTTCCACTCTTCATCCTCTGCTCAAGTCCCTCTGAGCTTCTCAGCATCCTCCAAATGCACCACATCCTTTCAGGAACTCATGTTTTTGCACACATTATTTCTTCAGAATGCACTTCTTCATCCCCACCTCTGCCTCACCATCCTCCACAGTTGAGTGTTGGGGCTGGCTCTTTCTTGGGCAGCAGCCATCCTCTTGCTGGGGCCCTCACAACATCATAATGACGTCATAACACAGCATGTGCAGCACAACAACCATTGTACTATTGTGTGCCTGTTGTTAGACTCGTCCCCTTGGGAGACTGCAAGCCCCTTGAACAGGGCATTCAATTTATTCTAGCTCACTATTTGCCACTTAAGTAGGTCAAATTGGGTTAGGGAATGTGACTCCCAAGAAATGACTGAGAAGGACTTTGGAATGTGAGTAGAAATCTGACTGCCCAGCCTCCTGGCATAGCCAGTGCCTCCCACTTCCCTCCATGTGGCCATGAGACATATGCATAGGAAATCAGACGAGGCTGGGCAGTACCACTTGGAGGACCCACAGGTTTTGTGAGTTGCCTAAAGACCCCACGCAGAAGGTCCAGGAAGTAGTACTCCAGGCCTTCTCCCAGCTCTTTAAAAAATTTTTTTCTTTTCTCTTTCCTAGAGGCATAAGGTGTGTATGGGAGGGGGAAATAGAAATAAACAAGCTGGAGGGGGAAAAGAGGAACATCAGAACCCACCACCTCGAGGACATTGAAGACCATAGTTCAATAATCACCTAATAGGCTGGGCATAGTGGCTGTAATTCTAGCACATTGGGAGGCCAAGGCGAGAAGATTGCTTGAGCCCAGGAGTTCAAAACCAGCCTGGACAACATAGTGAGACCTCAGTGCTACATAAAAATCAAAAGATTAGTTGAGTTGGTGGTACATGCCTGTAGTCTCAGCTATTTGGGAGACTGAGGCAGAAGGATTCTCTGAGCCTAGAGGGTGGAGGCTGTGATGAACTGTGATCGTGCCACTGCCCTCCAGCCTGGTTGACAGAGTGAGACACCAGCTCAAAAATAATAACAATAATCATCATCATGTAACTAACTTTGTTAGTTTTAGCGGCCAGGAGACTGAGCCTATAGAGTTTCCTTGAGTGTCCCGGTGACACATTGTTTTACTCATCCTGCAGTTAAAGTAAATCACCTTCCAACCATACTAGAATGGACAGTTTGGGTGGAACTAACTGCATATGTTAGGATCTAGAAGCCTTCAATCTAGCAGCAATGAGACCAGGGACACGGCTGGAGGAGGACAGGAAGCCTTTGTCTTTCTGTCTATTCCCTACTTCACTTGCCGAAACATGTTTGTTTGCTGGGCTTATTCCCAACATTGTGAGAATTTGTCATTTTATATATATTTAAAATGGGCATTACTCTGATACTTACCATTTAAAAATTGGCTGGGTGTGGTTTCTCACACCAGTAATCCCAGCACTTTGGGAGACCAAGGTGGAAGGATCACTTGAGGTCAGGAGTTCGAGACCAGCATGGTCTCTACAAAAGACAAAAAAAATTAGTCAGGTGTAGTGATGTGTACCTGTAACCCTAGTTACTTGAGAGGCTAAGGCAGAAGGATCACCTGAGTCTAGGAGATTAAGGCTGCAGTGAAGTGTGATCCTGCTGCTGCACTCCAGCCTGGGCGACACAAGATGAGATTATGACTCAAAAAAAAAAAAAAATTGAATCTGGAATCCAAGAAAAATTAACACTATTTTGAGGGCATTAATCTCAAATGTCTGGAAAACCATTTGAGCAGAACAACATTTGGCCTTTAAACACTATATATACACAGACCACAGAGCAAGGAGAGCTGACTTAGCAATGGTAAAGCCTGAATTAATGGATAATCTTGGTTACCTGGATATTTCTGACCTCTCCCTTCGGAGTTCTACTTCTTGAGGCACAAAGCCTACTCGTGACACAGCCTGGGTCTGCTTGACAGAGGCCTTGGTGTTTCTAGATACCCTAAAAGCCCTGGAAGATAGATGTTCAATTTAATTGTCTTTTTCTCCTATTTCTAGAGAAGCTATGCAAGGATATGGCTGGTCTTAAAGTATTTCAGGCATGTCTACTAAATTAGTAAAACATTTTCAAGAGCTTGGGATTTGTGGGTAGATCTTTTAAAAAATAATTTTTGAGAATTGAAGCAGAACAAAGCATCACATTTTTGGAGCAAAATAGCACAAATGTTGGAAAGTCTTGGAAGATAGATGCCAAAAAAAGAAAAAATCAGTAGTATTCATAACTATTGTTGCCAGATATTGTGAGCTCCTGGGATTTAGAACAGGCATCATCTTTATACTCAATCTTTTCTTTTGAAAAATGTCAAAACTAAGAATAGTACCATGAACTTTCACCTAGCTCCAATGATGGAAGCAGTTTTTATGACTTGTTTTATTTTGCCAGCCATACACACACACACACACACACACACACATACATACACACACATATCAACAAATGCCAATATTACAAAGCTCTGTGTTTTATTGTCATTGCTTTACATTCTGTCTGGAAATAAACCATGCCAAATGCATCATTTGTATGGAAAATAATAATGAGGTACCTCTCATCCACAGTCAAATCTACCTGATGACATCTTTGAAAATGGAAAGGCAGTTGAGGAGAAAATGCCACTATCTCTCAGCTTCAGTGACCTGCCCAATGGGGACTGCACCCTTCTCTCCCATTCAGCGGGCTCACCCTCCAATTCAACAAATCCAGAAATTACCATCACCCCTGCAGAGCTTTGCCACAGCAGCCTGTCCTCCCAGAATGAGGGCATGGATGACACCAGCTCAGCATCTTCCAGGAACTCCTTGGGAGAAGGCCAAGAGCCAAAGTCACATCTGAAGGAGGAAGACCCAGAGGAGTCTGGGAAACCTGCCCCGGCCCTGCCTGAGGCCTGCCACCAACAGTCCGCAGTTGCTGGGGCTGAGCACCTGTTCCTAAAGAACGATGTTGCAGAGGCACTTCTTCAAGAGTCCGATGAGGCCTCTGAGCTCAAGCCTGTGGAGCTAGACACTTTTGAAGGAAACATCACAAAACAGCTGGTCAAGAGGCTCACCTCGGCAGAGGTGCCGGCAGCCACCGAGAGGCTGCTCTTTGAGGGCTCTGTCAGTGGAGAATCCGAAGGCTGTAGATCCTTTCTAGATGGAAGTTTAGAGGATGCCTTTAACGGGCTATTCCTTGCATTAGAACCACATAAAGAGCAGTATAAAGAGTTTCAGGATCTGAACCAAGAAGTCATGCATTTGGATGATATTCTAAAAGTAAGTACCTTTTCAGAGAAATTGGATCAGGTTTGGAGAGAGGTGTCCTAAACCAAAATTCTGTTTAAGATGGTATATCTTTTAAAGAAAAAATCCTATTCAATCACATGATCAATACATAATCATCATTTAAATGGCATTGATTTTAATGTCTATAGTGCACATTAATTTTTATTTTCCTGACAACAGGAGATCAACTTAGCTAACCTGATTAGGATTGAAATTAAGAGCCCTGGAAAATATCTAAACTCTCCCAGTCCCAGAGTTAAGTATTCTGATCCCAAGTGTGAAATGGTGGCACTTTGATCATCATAATCTCACAGATATCACTGGATATGGTCCCTTTTAGGGTACTAGGAAAGTAGGGAGTCCTTCCCTGATTGGAGTCAGAGTTAGCCAGCCTCAATATCCAGGGTATCTTTCCTCCATTCCCACCCCACACCTTACACTGCCTGTGGGAGGATTCCCTTCTCCTGAATTTGACCCAAATCAGTAAGTCAGAATCTCAGATTAATCATCAGCAAATAATGATCAATGATCAGCCCTACTCTAGAAACTAGGGAACTCCAGATCCTACCAGAGATATCTTCAATCAGTCCATAGTAATCAGACAGCCCGGGGTAGAGGTGGGAGAGTAGGATGAGAAGGATGATTTCCTGTCAGGTGGGAAGTCCTGATAATGAGGTCATTATTGCTATATCAGAATATATCTGCCTGCACTGGGCATACAGATTAAAATTTTTAGAAACACTGCACAAGAAGACAGAACTTAAATTTTTGTTCCAAATCTTACTGCCACATCTTGTATTCTTTACTCTTCCACTCTGATTTATATTGTTATATAAAAGAGAACTTGGATCCTTTTTCTTGAAAGAGCAATTCTTTGGGGACCTTGTCTGTAAAGCAGCTTGAAAGTAAGGCTGAAGTGGAAAGCTGAGAAACAGCCCATGGAAGGCTGTTGCATCCCTTTGTAGGACTGTTTTGTGATGCCATCTTCCCAATGGTATCTGAAACTATATTTCCAAGGCTTTTCTGACCATCCTTCCCTCTCTACTCAGTAATGTGGACATCGCTCTGGAGGAGATTTGTGCCCAGGGCAGATGACAGCTCAGGCTCTGACTCTCCATGTCCTTGAGTACTTATAACAGATTAGTTCTGCTGGAGGCAGAGTCTCTGAGAAACAGAGAAGGGCACTCTGACTCTGCCCTCTGTAATACACAGCCTGCAAACATCAGTTCAGAGCTGGTGTATGGAGGCTGCTTGTCTGGTACTCCACCGAGCATCTACCTTTTCCGCACAGTTGACCAGCTTTGTTTTGTGGACAAAGGGTGTTCATTTCAAACAGCAAATACACACATTGTCCCCACCTAAAGTGAATGCCTTAAAGAAGCCAGTAGTGATGGCAGCTCTTGTTCCTGGGTCTAGGATGCTGAGCTACTGCTCAGTGCACCAGGAGACACTAAGCGTATCATCTTGTAGTCTTATAAAAACCTGGTGGGCACAGATTTCTTTGCAGAGTATTATTTTAGTCTGTTGTTTTTCCAGAATTATCCTGCTACTAAAATCCTCTGCACCCCCTTTATTCGTTAGGGGCTGTTGATATTTAAACACTTTTATATGGTACAAGATAGAGATGTGAGCTAGCTAACTTAGGAAAGAAGACGCTAGAAGTAGGTTAAGTCCAGAAGGACTCCCTATCTCCCCGTGAGACTGAAAACGTCATTAGAGTTTAGGTCTGTAGTAAGTGGCTTTGCTTCCAGCCAGAATTAAAGCATCAGCTGGACAAAGCTCTCTCTTTTTTCCCCCCCCTTCACATTCCTAGGATGCTAAACATCTTGAGGATCAGAAACTAAATGATGCTGCCTCTTGGACGGAGATCACTAAGGGAGAATGAAACAACTGTGATTTATAAGACCGAAAGACGTTTTTCCCATGTGTTTTTGTGCCATCTTGAGTGTCAGAGACAGATCCCCACAAGGCCCTTCCTACCTTGTGCTAAGAAATCAGCAAAGAGTGCCAACTAACTGGATGAAGGACATTTAGTGCTTCTTACTTACAGGACTTATCCCATTCAATCCACCCCAGCGACCTCTTGAAAATTCGGAAATATTTCTCTCCATCTCTGTGCTCACAGCAACTGGCATTGTTCTGTTTGTAATGTTTCTGCTTATGTCTGGCATTATAGAATGCTCCAGGCCATAGAATGGGTTTGCTCCCATGATTCCAGGGCCTAGTCAGGGAAGTGATGGAACTTGTTCCTTTCACGGCAGAGCTCCGGAGGATGCAAGGCTGCCTCTTGGCCTGATCGTGCCCTTCATTTTCTCCTCGATGCTCCCAGGAAAAATGATATGCTGTGAATGTAACATTAAGATGTAGGGCTTCTTACCTAAGGAATGTAGACTAGGTTAATTTGAACAGTTTTCTGTGTCTGGGATTTGTTTTGATACTCCTTTAGAGCAGGTGCCTAAGATAGTGCCAAGCTCAGGACACTGAAGACATCGCCACTTGAAGTCAGAGACTGGTCAGTATTCAGCAATGACTCAATGACTCCTAAGACTTGTCTACTGGTTGTCTTTTATTTGGGCATAAGTGCTAAGCAGAGGGAATATAGCATTTCTGTCTCCCAAGGCTTTGTGGTTGTCATATTTTTTAAACTTTTTGTCACAAAAACTTGAAGCTGAAGTAGAGAAAAACTTCTAATGGATCCCAATGTGTCATCCCCGAGTCTCCCCAGTGATCAACTCATGGCCAATCTTTGTTTCATCTATTCCTCTACCTGCTTAACGACCTTCAGATTCTTTTGAAATAAATCCCAGATATTGTGCCATTTTGTCCATGGTTGTACTTCTTCTTTGGATATCAAGATTTTTCTATGCCAGCAAAAAATAAAAATAAAAGCTTGAAAAAAAAAAAGAAAGTGTCACATCTCCTACTGAGTGCCGTGTGTGTGTCGTGTTTCTCCTTCTGGATGTGTTGATGTTTTCCCTGGTGCCTTCTACCTTTGCAGTGCAAGCCAGCGGGAAGCCGCAGCAGGTCTTCCAGTTTAAGTCTTACTGTTGAAAGTGCTTTAGAAAGCTTTGATTTCCTGAACACCTCTGATTTTGACGAGGAGGAGGAGGATGGTGATGAGGTTTGTAACGTTGGAGGAGGTGCTGACTCAGTATTTTCAGACACTGAGACTGAGAAACATAGGTAAGTCTGAAGTTAGTATGTATCTGCTTATATTTCTCCTGTCATAGCTAGTATAGCAGTTCTTTGTCACTATCAGAAGGGACCTGGTGCACATCTCCAGGAAGATAAAATTCCCTGCATGAGTGACCGATTGACTTATGTTTCTTTTTATTGTCAAGTACAACTTTAAAATATTATTCACCTCTTTTGGGTTGCTTAAGGAAAGATAAATTTCTTTTTTATAAACAAAAGGGGAATTTTTGTATGAGTATTTGTATGTGTGTGCATATACATGTATACACATGCGTCTCATAGGATTCAGTGTCCACAACTTGACCCCATGTAATTAATTCTAAATTAATTATACTGCGTTTCTGGAGAACTCTTGCTGAATGACAAATTTGGATCTCATTCTCCCTGGTTTGCATCTGACTTCCAAGGCCTTTGTTTTGTTTTGTTGTGCTCTGCTTTCAGCACCCCTTTATCTGTTTCCTTCAGCCCATTGAGTCTTTGCATGAGACTAAACTCGTCAATGCACATATTAAAGCCAGGGCTGAGTGCCCAGCACTTTGGGAGGATCACTTGAGGCTGGGAGTTTGAGTAAAAAAGTGAGACCCCATCTCCACAAAAAATAAAATGAAATAAAAATTAGCTGGGCGTGGTGGCATTCACCTGTAGTCCCAGCTACTTGGAGGCTGAGGCAGGAGAATTTTCTGAGCCCAGGAGTTCAAAACTGCATTGAGCTATCATGGTGCCACTCCTCTCCAACCTGGGCAATGAAGCAAGACTCTCTATCAAAACAAAACAAAGCCGGGCTCGGTGGCTCAGCCTGTAATCCCGCGCCTTTGGGAGGCTGAGGTGAGTGGATTGCCTGTGCCGGCGGGTTCGAGGCCCGCCTGGGCAGCGAGACCTCATCTCTACCATAAATAAAAAAAAAATCAGCCAGGCGTGGTAGCACATGCCTGTAATTCCGGCTACTCGGAAGGCTGAGGTGGAAGGATCGCCGGAGCCCAGCAGGTCGAGGCTGCGGTGGCCGGGAGCGGCCACTGCACTCCAGACTGGGTGACCGAGTGAGACTCCAACTCAAAACAAAACAAAACAAAACAAACAAGTCAATTTCAAGTGTCATGGTGCATATTGCCCTTAGAATTCTCATACTGTCCTAAGAAGAGATGACTGATGACTCACAATTGCCACTGGATCCACGGCTCTCTAGGTGGAGAATATGACTATCTCTGGGGACAGGAGGTGAAGGTGAAATATTGTCACCCTCTCTGGCAGGCGTTCTTGTGCAGCCAAATCACATTTTTAGAACTAGAGCCTGGGGTCTGATTGTATAACTACAGTTGAAACAAAACAAGCACAATGGAACATACCTCCATCAGTTGCTGTGACAGTACACATGCACTTTCCCAGAGAAAGGGTGGATTGCTCACCCACCTTTACTTTTGGCACAATGGGACATACACTGGTTTTCAAGTTACAACAAATGTCTCTGTACAAGATGCTATTGTGTTTGTTTTGTGTTGTTCCTGGAGGGTTTCCTTCTCAAAAATAAAACCAGAAAAAAAAAGCATGAGAACTTGAATTTACCCCTTGAACAAATGGAGGGGCATAGCAAAATAAAATTAATTAAATAAACGTAATGTTCAAGTGATTCTTCTGCATTCTACATTGAAATTTTTCTAGCTTGATTAAATTTGTGAAATGCTTCTTAACCAAAATTTTTTTTCTGTATACTTGATATTGCAAGGTCAGGCATCCATATAAACTTTTTTCTTCTTGTTATAAGAAGCATTTAGCAACACCAAAAAAAAAAAAAAGAGCACAGTTTTTGTAAATTTTACAGAACATGGATATTAAATATGTCTAATCTGACCAGTCTTACTGTATGTCATCTGAAGTATTAGGGAAAAGTGTGTGTGTGTGTGTGTGTGTGTGTGTGTAATATGTGTTGAATACTATGTGTGGACTGCCAGGGCACAAACTGTTCTCCCTTTGAAGGAAAAGGCGAATCAGAATAAAGCTTTCAAAGCCTCTAAGCTCTGGAGCCTAATCTTTTTAAATTGTGGACACTGAGGAGTGTGAGGCTAGAAGCCTAAAGCTGTCCTGTCCCTTCCAGCTGTGTGAACTGGGACATGCTTGTTAACATCCCTGCAAGTCTTGTGAAACAAGATGACTATTCCCTCCCTTCATAGCGCACAGATTTATTATAAGAATAAAATTAGATCATCGAGGCATCAGATTTTTGTTGTATAAGTGCCCATCACGATATAACTTTAGACAGTTCAACAGTGGGATTTAAACAAAACCTGAGAAGCAGAACTGAGCCATGCCTCTAAATATTCAAACACTCCTTTTAACTTTTGTCTGGAGTAGAACATCATGTCTCTCTTCTTGGCAGCTTTCCTTTTTCCTTTTCTTCAAGTAGTAATTGCTCTGAGGCCAGGAAAAAGCCTTGACAGATTATTTCTTAATGGTATTGCCCTTGGGAAACCACAAATATAGAGGACAGTTTAAACCCAGAAAATTTGGCAAATCACCCTGTTAACAGAGCAAGAAAGTGCAACAAATGCAAAATGAGAGCACATTTCAAAGACTCCTTGGTGAAACTGCTTCATAAATGGTTCATTGTGCTTGAGAAGCAAACAGAAGACTCTGGAAGCAATTTGTTTGCATGACCTTTTAACACTAGGCAAATTAGCGACCAGGCTGAATTAAGTCATTTTTGAAAGGTATCTCTGTTTTTCAACGTAGGCAAGAAAGACTGTTTTCAATGGGTACTTTTGGGGCCTGACACAAGCCCTGTTGAGTTGACCTGTAGTTTGTACATGAAAAGAAGTAGCTAACGTCTTGCCCACCTTCCTGCTTCTCCAGTTATAGATCAGTTCACCCGGAAGCCAGGGGGCATCTCAGTGAAGCACTGACTGAAGACACAGGAGTTGGGACTAGTGTGGCAGGAAGTCCCCTTCCACTGACCTCAGGAAATGAGAGCCTGGACATCACCATCGTTAGGCACCTCCAGTACTGCACCCAACTCGTCCAGGTAGGATCAGCGGCCTTGTTTGTATTTGAGAACCCAGGGGGTTTACGTACCAAGAAAGTGTGTTTTCATTTTTTAATTTTGCCAGGGAAATGAGAATTTAGGAATAAGAGAACAATTCTGCTTTACTTTGAACCAAGTCAAAAACTCTGATGGGGCTGGGTGCAGTGGCTCATGCCTGCCTGTAATCTCAGCACTTTGGGGGGTCAAGGAGGGAGGATTGCTTGAGCCCAGGAGTTTGAGGCTAGCCTAGGCAACATAGTGAGACCTCAACTCTATAATAAAATAAAGCAATAAATAAATGAAATTAAAAAAAAAAAACTCTGATGGACATGTCTATTCTTCCTTAACCCTGGGTTTTTCATCTTAAAGCCCAGCTCTTCTTAAAAAATAGTAAGTGGAATAAGGTTAGCTCTCATTTTTGAATTATTTGGCATTAGATGAGAGTAATAGAATTAAAGGGGGAAAAAAGGTATTTGCATTCTGCCATCTGCAAATGGAGTTACAAAGCCAGTAGTACTGAACATATATCAATGTGTGTCATGTGAAGTCATTTTTCACCACCTGAATAGCTAAAAGAAAAGTGCTAAACAATCTAACCACGTTTTCCCAGATCTTGAATACGTACTTCTTATTAGCAATGGGAAGTAATATTGCTCTAGGCCATCATTGTCATGAGTTAGGCCTCATTCTGGGGCTATGGAGCGATTTTTCTTCTCATCTCAAGCTGTTTACTAATTAAAGTTTTTGAAATTCTTTTGTTGGAGGAAAGGTTTCCGCTGCCTTCCACAAATCATCTTCTCCTAGGCATCTATTAAGGGCTTCCTCCTTACCTGATTGCTTGTCTTCTCCTAATATGTTTCTTCTCCTGTCTTGCTTGGATATGTATAGAACAGAAAAAGAGTATGGGAGCAAATGTAATCATGGTTTCAGAGGGAATCAGCCAAGCAGGAAGGGTGTAAAAAAAGGAAGAATTATGTTCTTAAGAGCACAGGACCAATTGAAAGACAAGAGTTGGGGTGAGGAGTCAGGGGGGCACAGGAAGGCCAGGAGTGAGACAGTCTTGCTTCCTTGGTAACACACTCATGATGAGATATAGTACTTTACCACAAAGGAGGAAGCTCAGAGTAGCCTCAGACAACTATGTACTGTGGGAAACTGGTTGGCATTTATAACTCTTGTGACTTGGTTGGCCAACACCCTAGATGAACTCTTCTGTTGAGTATTGAGTTTATAAACCATGATACTGTCAACCAATATGGCAGAAGGTGCAATTTTTTTTTTTTAATTTTTAAAAATAAAATAGAGACAGGGTCTCACTATGTTGACCAGGATGGTCAAGAACTGCTAGTCTCAAACAATTCTCCTGCCTCAGCCTCCCAAAGTGCTGGGATTACAGGAGCTGCCACACCTGGCCATAATTTTTTTTCTGACCAAAATAGACAAGGATTTTTGTTTACTTATAGCTATTTTCTATTCACCAACCATTTGAATGAGATAGTTTTGCATCTCTTTATCCTTGCTGAACCTGATACTGCGCTGAGCAAACCACTTGACCTTTTAGAGGAAAGTAGCTATTTTGTGAAACATTAGAGAATTCTCTTCCATGAAGGGGTAAATGTTTTCTCCCAATGTCTAATTGGCATGCAATAGTCAACACAATGTTTCTCCTATTGTAAGGCCATGGTTTTAACAATTCAGCTCTTCTATGAGGAAGACCAGTGCTAGAAAAACAACAGAGGGCCGGGCTCAGTGGCTCAGCCTGTAATCCCAGCACTTTGGGAGGCCGAGGCAAGTGGATCGCCTGAGCCTGAGGGTTCAAGACCAGCACGGGCAACTTGGAGAGACCTCATATCTACAATAAAATAAAAAATTAGCCAGGTGCAGCGGTGTGCACCTGTAGTTCTGGCTATTTGGAAGGTTGAGGTGGAAGGATCGCCGGAGCCCAGCAGGTTGATGCTGGGGTGGCATGCCACTGCACTCTAGCCTGGGTGACAGAGTGAGACTACAACTCAGAAAAAGAAACAAAAAGCAGGTGAATACAAAGATGTAGATTGTAGGAGTGAGGATTAGAAACTTAGCCTCTCACTTGAACTCACTCCTGAATCAGTGCATTTACTTACTCATTTGGTGAATAAGAATAATCTCCGAGAATGAAAATGGGCATTCTTTAAGATTATATTAGGTACAATTATTTCTAAAACAAATCAGCTTATTTCTACTTATGTGTTTACTTATGTGAAAGGCATTGGTACAAAATTGTTACACTAGACTTTTGAGTTTGAAAATAATATTTGTTTTGGAGTCCAAATGCTTTAGATAGCACAGCATGGTCGCACAGGTCTGCATCCTGCATCCATGCCTACCTGATGCCTGAGATAGTCTCTCAAAGATACACAGAGGAGTAGAACCATTGGGCGGCAAGTAATTTGTTTTTCTCACTCTCAGACCTTCTCATTCTTGTGATCTGCACAGAAGTAATTATGACTTATATGACCTTGGGCAGGTTACTTAACCTTTCTGCCTCAGTTTTCTCATCAGTAAAATGGGAATATCAATAGGACGGGCCTCATGGAGTTGTGAGAAGTAACATGAGCTAACATACCTATAAAGAGCTCAGACCAATGCCTAGTACATAGAAAGCACTCACTAAGGATAATGAGATAGCTCTATTGTAATTAGGTTTATTATACAATCTGCTCTTAATTTTCACCTAGGATACAGAAAAGTAAAACATGCTATGAAAAATCACTGTACTTGTAACACAAATCTTTGTCTGCATACGCACCAAGACACAGCCTAAATCTGCCCTGCAGTTTTCAAAGAGGAAGATCAGATGCACAGTACATAACAGGAAGGCAGTTTTACAATACCCTTGCAGCTCTACTATTGAGAAAATTCCAGAATGGATGAGGGTATGAAAAATTTAAAGCAACAAAAACATATCTGATTTTATGAGATGTTGTAACTGGCCTGGAATGAGGAACATTGTCAAGCTGGAACAAAAACTTTGTTGGAGTTTATTTAGCATCATCACCACGTTCAGAAAGGATGAGGGAAACTCTATTCACAACAACATAATTGAAACAGGGGTTTTGTTTGTTTTACCAGCAAATCATTTTCTCAAGCAAAATCCCATTTGTTGCAAGAAACCTCTTAGAGAAGCTTTCTAGGCAGATCCAAGTGGTGGAGAAACTCGCAGCTGTCAGTGATGAAAACATTGGAAATATCAGCTCTGTCATGGAAGGTAAGTGTTTGCCGATAACACTACCATTCCTGTAAATGAGGATACCACAGCCCACTTTGCTGCCTGTGCTTGTTTATTGCATTGCTGGGAAAACAGAAAAACATTCTTAGGCTACAGAATAGAGTAAGGTCTCCCTAGAAACTGGGCTTGTTAACATCACACTTCACCTTCTGAGTGAAAGCAGCAGACACCCATATTTTTCCATAGAACCTTCCCCTCCAGAAGTCAGACACAGAACTGGACGCAGCATCTACCAGACAGGCAGAGTCCTGCAGAACAGGATTGTGCTTGTTCCATGCAACTGGCTAAGACAACACCTAGAGTGATTGCCAATTTGGACGATGCTTCCAGACCCTGCTGGGAAGATACATGGATTCTGAGTCTTTCTGAAGAGTCCCTGGTTCTGAGAGTTTTAGATGGACAACATCATATGGGGAAGATGCCTTTGAATTTTGTGTGGTCTGGCTACAGGGCACTTCTGTAAAGACAAGAATTTATATCATTTTTACATCAGATATTCAGTAGAAATAGTCTTCTAGGTAATCCTTGGTTATGCCTAAAACTCCCTCCATTTTCTCCTCAGACATTTCTGCCTCTTACATCCATTCCCGCTAGAAGCAGGTGATTTTTGGCAGGGCTCTGAGAGGCATAAAAAGTGGCAGGACAAGCTGGGCTTGGTGGCTCAGCCTGTAATCCCGCGCCTTTGGGAGGCTGAGGTTAGTAGATTGCCTGAGCCCGCGGGTTCGAGACCCGCCTGGGCAGCGAGACCTCATCTCTACAATAAATCAAAAAATCAGCCAGGCGTGGTAGCGCATGCCTGTAATTCCGGCTACTTGGAAGGCTGAGGCGGAAGGATCGCCGGAGCCCAGCAGGTCGAGGCTGCGATGGCCAGGAGCGGCCACTGCACTCCAGTCTGGGCGACAGAGTGAGACTCCAACTCAAAAAAAAAAAAAAAAAAAAAGCAGCAGGACATTCAAGCTGCAAGTGACTTGTGCCCTCTTCTCTCCCAGGCCCCTCCTCACACTCACAACCATGTTCAAGTGAAATGTTGACTGTGCGCTACCTGGGACCATGCCGTTCATGGTATGGTCTCTGTAGCAGCTACTCAGTTCTGCAGTTGTAGTGCAGAAGCAGCCATAGACAATTTCCAAATAAATGAGCATATGTGTTCCAATACAACTTTATTTACAAAAGCAGAGTAAAGAGTGACAGAGCATAGCTTCCTTCAATCATTCCAGTCTGAGAGCACCTGGGCAGTGTGAAAATTCCTCCAGACACCTATGGCTCCTTCCCATTCCCTTCAGGAAAGGCTCCTAGAGTTTGACTTTCTGATCCTGTAGGATTTTTGTTGTAAAGTTACAGGAGATGAGATGCCTGGAATGTCTCCTGAGGTAGAGCTGCTGTGTTTTCTGTCACTGTAAGCAAACAGCCTTGTTTTTGCTCTACTGTCTTTGGTCTCCAGGTGGGATGAGAACCTCATCATAACTTCTTTACCTTTGGGCCTTCTGCCAACCACAGAGGAATCTTGTAGTTCCAATTGAAAACTACAGTTGGGGCAGGGGGGGAAGGCCCCTGATAATACACCCCATCCCACCCTCCAGGGTCTTTGTCTCAATCTGCTTCACTTAAAACATGTGTCATGGGATGTTGGGGGTTGCTTGTCTTTTCCAGCCATACCAGAATTTCACAAAAAGCTGTCCTTGCTGTCATTCTGGACCAAGTGCTGCAGCCCAGCTGGTGTCTACCACAGCTCAGCTGACAGGATAATTAAGCAGCTGGAGGCCAGCTTCGCGAGAACAGTCAACAAGGAATATCCAGGACTTGCGGACCCAGGTACAGGACAGCAACAGAGAGTATCTGTCCTTCTGTGCAGGCGCAGGGCGGGGTTCCTCCACCACTTGTCCCATGGCCTGGGAGTGGGGCCCATGCTAAAGGCCACCGTGAAAAAAGGCAAAAACATAACCTACTCAGTAGATTTAAGAAAGGAAAGATGCTGAATGTGTTCTGATTCAGAATATCAGCAGTGACTTTTAAAGCTACTACTTTTCTGCATATTGCTTTTTCTGTATATATATATATTTTTCAATAAGATGTATGAGAGTGTCACACAGTACAACCACTTAGGAAAAACTGTTAGGCAGTTTCTACTAAACCTCAATGTATCTCCTATTTTGGGATCCAGCAATTCCACTCTTAAATATATAAAGAGAAAAGGTGCTGTGATCACAAGAAAAGACAGGTATACCAATGTCCACAGCAACTTTACTTAAAATTGGAAACAACCCAAATGCCACAACAAGAGAATGGATAAATTGTAATGTATTCATATCAAAGGGTATTTATTACGTAGCATTTTTTAAAAAGAATACATTGTTGCTACAAGCACCAATTTGAATGAATCTGATAGATATTTTGTTGCATAAAAGAAACAAGATGCCGGGCTTGGTGGCTCAGCCTGTAATCCCAGCGCTTTGGGAGGCTCAGGTGAGTGGACTGCCTGAGTCCACGGGTTCGAGACCCATCTGGGCAACTTGGCAAGACCTCATCTCTACAATAAATCAAAAATTAGCCAAGTGTGGTAGCGTGTGCCTGTAGTTCCAGCTACTTGGAAGGCGGAGGCGGAAGGATCGCTGGAGCCCAGCAGGTCGAGGCCGCTCCCGGCCACTGCACTCCAGTCTGGGGCACAGAGTGAGACTTCGACTCAAAAAACAAACAAACAAACAAACAACAACAACAGCAAAGATACAAGAAATACATACCATATTATTCCGTTTACATGGAGTTCAAGAACAGGCAACCCTAATTTATGTCTATTAGAAGTCAGATTAGTAGTAACCTATAGTGGGGATGGGTGGGTAGTATAGACTGGAAAGAAACATAAGATTGAGCACTGGACATCTACATCCTAATGTAAATGGCAGCTACACAGGTATGTACATATGCAAAATCCATCTATTGAGCTGGGCATGGTGGCTTCCACCTGTAATTCCACCTACTCAGGAGGCTGAGACGGGAGAATCGCTTAAGCCCAGGAGTTCCAGACAGAGTCGAGTGACAGAGTAAGACCTGACTCAAAATCATATATATATATTGCATGCATGGTCATGTTTTTTTAAGCTGCTTTGTATCTTTCTCTTCCAAATAGTGTTTCGAACGTTGGTGTCCCAAATTCTGGACCGTGCTGAGCCCCTGGTTTCCTCCAGTCTCTCCTCAGAAGTCATCACAGTTTTCCAGTATTACAGTTACTTTACCAGCCATGGTGTGAGTGACCTAGAGAACTACCTGAGTCAACTGGCCGGGCAAGGTGGGATATCTTTTGTCACACTGCAGTGGTGGCTCAATTTGGAGTTACCACTGTTCTTTTTAATCGTAGTTTTTAGTGATGGTAGCCTTTTTTCCACCCCAAGTCCACAGATGAACTAAGATTTACCTTTTAAATAACTTCTGGGCCTTTAACATGAGCAAGCCACTTGTTAATGAATCAGAGATTCACTGATAGTTCAATCATCTGGCACAGGTGTACCATTAACAGGACGCTAGTAAATGATGTAAGCTTTCAGTGTAATTTCTTTCCTTCATTAATATATGTGCCATTTTGTAGGACCAAAACTACGTAATACTATTTTATATTGCTGTTTTGGGTAGGAACTTCATTAATAACAGGCAGAAATCGGGTCGGGTGCAGTGACTCATGCCTCCCAGCACTTTGGGAGGTTGAGGCAGGAGGATTGCTTGAGCCTAGGAGTTGGAAACCAGCCTAGGCAGCATAGCGAGACCTCATTTCTATGAAAAATTTAAAAATTAGCCAGGCTCAATGGCATGTGCTACTTGGGATTGATTTTGGGGTGGAAGGATCGCTTGAGCCCAGAAGTGGAGGCTACCACGAACCGTGATCATGCCATTGTACTCCAGCCTGGGCAACAGACTGAGACCAACTCAAAACTAATAATAACAACAATAATGATAATAAGCAGAAATTGGTTTTAAAAGAAGGCAGACTGGTGACACAGTGGAAAGAGAAAGGAGAAGAAGGTAGAAACCTAAATCCGGGGCTACACATCTTGGGACTGAGGCAAACAGGTCCTACTGCAAGGGGTGGCAGTGAAGCTTATTCTTGCCATGTAATGTGGCCCTTCTGGTATTAGAAACAAAATAAGCATCCGAATGAGTGAAAACCTCTTTAGGAGTGAAGTCAGGTAATGAGGGCCTGGTTTCTGGTCCCCAGGTGTGTGCTCCATAAATCCACAGGGCCTTGACAATGAGGGTTAAAAGGGATGGGGGGATGAGGTGTGTTCTTTGGGATCAAGTGGAGACTCTGGCATGGCATCAGAAGGCAGCAGCATGTCTGGCATAGGCCCAGGCTTAGCTATTCTCTTTCCAGAACATTAAACCCTGGGACGACACAGCACAGTGGTTGGCAGCATGGTGAAGTAAAAAAAAAAAAAATCTTCCTCCACCCAACATTGTGCTAACATGAATCTTAGGATAGGCTGGGCATGATCCCTTACAAATGGCAAATGCCAGCACAGGGAACTGGGAACAGCATGGGCAGGAAGACCCTGTTTAGGACCACAGGGTCTTCTTTTATTATATTCTCACTTCTTGATACTAAACCTGTCACAATCTAAATCAGTTTCCTAAGAAGTTGTCTATCTTACTCAGTTTACATCAGTGGCCATGTACATCTCTAAACCTCAACCACATGGTCCATGGGAAGGCCTGCTCCTCTACCAAAAGGAATGGGAATGGTAGTGAAAAAAACCCTAACCTTATAAGTGTTTTTTTCCCCCTTTTATTATAAAAGGAAAGGGTTTCAATACAGAAAATTTAGAAAACAGAGAAGCATAAAGAAAAATTTTAAATCGCTCATTCTCCCACTTTTAAAATTGATTGTTTCACTGCCTTACACAGGGGAAGAAAAATTTTTAAAAAATAAAATTGAGTGTACTTTTCAGCTGAAGGTACATTAGTTTTAGATTTCAAAATTGTAATTATTCCTTATAGAGTATTATATTCTCCTTTTTCATTTGCTGTTAGATTTCCTGTTATTAAATATGCTTTGAAAGAATTTTATTAGTTACATTTTACTAGTTATTAGATTAATATTTATATGTTTAAATGTATACTAATGTATTTGATTATACTGTTGAACATTTAGTCATTTTACTGTGACTTTGTATTTAGATGTTATAATACTCAATGTTACCTCAAGATTTTTTTTTTTTTTTTTGCTAAGGTATTTATCTGCAAAGCAGTGAAGTTGAGAGAACATTCACAGCAGGGAAAATAGGATATTAAAGCAAAAGAAATCTAGATAATTCATACATTAGTCCACTTTGTAGAGGATGTTGCTCTATCAATAGAACATGCATTTTATCTTTTATTTTTCCATCTGTACTGAGCAGACACATTCTCATCCTTATGCTTTTGTGACTAATGAATGCCTATGCTGGATTTCTAGTTAGATATTACAGTATGTTCCTTTTTCATGGAACATGGTCAGTTTGTCCAAATGGGACTCAAGACCTTTTTTTAAATTATTTTTAATCATATCATCTCCATATTTCAACCAACTAAGTGGGTTTCTCTATCAGGGTCCAGGTGCTTTCATGAAAATTTGGGTTCACCCAGGATGAGAGTATTGTAGACAGGTATCACTAAAAGACAGAGGAGCCACTGAGTCTGATATTATATATGTATATTTATATGTATATTAGGAAGATTGCAAAAAATATTTACTTATATTTTTCACTGTGTATGTTTACATTGGGCTAATTCCTCTAGAGGTCATTTATGTAGTCATTATGAGATGGAGACCACCTCCACTTTTTTCCCATATGATTTGTCCCTCTCTCAATGTAGTCATTTGAATAATCTGTCCTTTTCTCACTAATTTGAAACACCACCTTTAACATAAAGTATATATACTTGTTATTTTGTATGCATATATATACACACATACACACATATATATATACTTTCTTATGCATTTGAGTCCTGTTTATGTGTTTAATGAGCATGCTCCTTTAGCATATCAGAACATGAATTCTTTTTCCTTCATACCCTCTAGTTTCCATGGTTCAGACTCTGCAATCACTAAGAGATGAAAAACTGCTACAGATCATGAGTGACCTTGCTCCCAGCAACCTCCCAGCCCAGCAGGAAATACTCAGGACTCTGGCTCTGCTATTAACCAGAGATGACAATGAAGTTAGTGAGGCTGTGACACTTTACTTGGCAGCAGCCTCCAAAAATGAGCATTTCAGAGAAAAGGTAGGACACTAAATCATGGTGGTCAAGCCAGAATTTTGTTTAATTTTCTGTTATCTACTACCATACTAATATTTTCACATTCATTCCTTTATTTAAAAAAAAAGAGTTTTTCTGATTAGTAATAATACATACTCTGTAAAACCATGAAAACTAAAGAACTTATAAGTAGATACGTGTTCCATAAGTCCAACCCCAAGAGAAAACTATTAATAACTTAGTGTCTAGTCCCTCAGATGTTTTTCTACATATGCACTGACATATATAATTTTTATTTTAAAATGAGATCATACTGTTCTGTTTCATAGCTGATTTTTTTTTAATTTTTAATTTTAAAATTGTGGGGTACAGTTAAGTGTTAGGTTTATAAATATGCATCGTTCAGGCACCCTTGTTGATAAGGGGTGTCTCCCTGTCCCCAGACAGATATTCACTACCATTAGTCCCACCTCCCTTCCCCTTCCTGCCCCTCGCATAGTTTCCCACCACTGTCAGTCCTTTTCTTTTAGTATTATGATAGATGTTCAAGGTCCACTATATGAGTGAGAACATGTGATACTCAAATCTTTGTTTCTGTGAGAGATCACTCAGTATTATAGACTCTAGTTCCATCCAGGTTGCTGCAAAATTCATGATTTTGTTCTTTTTTATGGCTTCATAGCTGATTTTTAAAATATGCTATATGATGGCTGTTTTTCTTCCACATTAGAACATATTAATTTATTTTATTATATTTACAGGTTAGTGCCATGTCAGTGTATAGATATCCTAGCATTTATTTTCTCATTTTGTGTTGATGGGCATTTGTGTAATTTCTAACTCAGAAAAATATTATGGTGAACATGTGCTTGTATGTGTGCATCTATGTATAGGCATATTTTATGAGTAATTTGGGGTCAAGTCATCAAGCAATTGGGTGAAAGAGCTAGGATATTTTAAATTTTCAAAGCCAGAACTCCTCTTGCTCTGAAAGAGGTCATTTACCTCTTCCTCAGTTTTAATTCAATAGCCATCCAGATGCAACAGGAATCTGTAATTTAAGCACATTGGGGTCTCGTACAAGCAATGAACTTGGTCCTCTGAAGCCATTTACAATTTGTACAATCTAAAAACAAACTCATCAAAATTCAGATTATCTCAACAAAATTAAATGTGACCTTTTAACTGTTCTTGAAAGAGTCCCATGTTGAACTCTGAGAAGAGTTTGTTGTCTAAGGCATTACCCGAACTAGGGTGGAGTGGGATGTTTGTGTACTCTCACAAGAAGATCATCCATTCTGATGCCCAAGAGAGTGATCTCTATATAGTTCTTTCCTCCAAGGTTATAGTCTCTTAGTGGAGTTAGCTCAAAAGGCTGTTCTGGGGGCCAACCATTCTCACCCCCATCGAAAAGAGAGAAGGAAAATTAAAGGATAGTGAACAATGCTGACAACAGTGTATGCCCAGAGTTGAGTGTGCTGCTTTCTGTGAGCAGGACTGTGATACTCTGTAGTCATGGTGAAGGACCAGTGTTGTAGTTTGTCTTTAGAAATAACAATTGTGATACAACATTCCTTTAGCTTTTCTGTGTGTGACTTTTACTTTTAGGGCACATGCCACTGACTAAATGCTCTTTTTTTTTCATTCCAGTTCAGCTCTCATGTTTATTCTTTCAGATTCATTTCATCATTAATAAGTCTACATTAAGTGCCTACTGTGTCCCTGGCAATGTGTAAAGGATTTTCTGTAGAAATAGAGGGAGAAAAGTCCCTGCCCTTGAAGGGATTTCAATCTAGTCAGAAAAAACAAGAAATAATAAAAACTATCAATTGCTATGTACCTACTAAACACCAGGCACTGTGCTGCATTGCTGAGCTATCTTGTTTTTAACAAGTTGGATGTTATCATCTTCCATTATAGATTAGAAAAATGAGTCTCCACAGAGTTAGAGTTGGCTAAGATGATATACTAGTTAAGTGATAGTTACTGCCTAGAAATGTTTGACCCCTAAAGCCTGAACTGTTACCATATTTTCTTATAAGGAATAGCTAAAGTTAGTACATTAAATTCTTGAAACTAGATATGAAGGGCTAAAGCGATACAAAAATACCTAGGTGAGAGCTGGTGTTACTGTAAACCTGGAATCTTGCTTCAAGAACCATAACTACTACTATTTTTACAAAGAAAAAGTTGTGTGTGTTGATTTATTATTTTGTGCTCCTCCTCACCACCTAGACAAGTTGGAAATATACACTCATCTCCAATTTTACTACTGCATTAAAATGTTGTTGCTTCTTTTGATCAACATGAATTTTCATAAGTTTTGTTTGTTTTTTGGTTTTTGCTCTGAAGGTAGAACAAAACTGGAATATATGCTCTAGTTTATCTAAGGGAATAAAAATTGTTTGTACCTCTTAAACTACAAACAAATAAAAATGCCTTCTCTTTCAGGCCTTGCTCTATTACTGTGAAGCACTAACAAAGACAAACCTTCAGCTCCAGAAGGCAGCTTGCTTGGCCTTGAAAACTCTTGAGGTAAAGCCTGGTCTCAGAGCCCCCTGGCAGTTCACTTTGAACCAGACTCAGCCAAGTGTATATAACAGCTTTGTTCCATATTTGAAAGTACCTTTTTTAGTGGTATTTCTCATCTCCTTTGAACTGTATATTAGCTTAGGGAGTTCTTTTTTGCCTTAAACAGTAACTACATGTAACTTCGTTTTATTAAAGTCAGTAAGTGGCAGCAAATAATCATGTTTTGCAATAGCCTGAGCGAATCAATTTGCCTTTAGGTCAGATTAGAAAAGTATATCTGGCCAGCATGGTAGCTCGCTCAGGCCTATAATCCCAGCACTTTAGGAGGCCAAGGTGGGAGGATTGCTCGAGCCTAGGAGTTCAAGACCAGCCTGGCAACATAACAAGACCTCATCTCTACAAAAATAAAAATAAAAAGTTAGCCAGGCATGGTGGTGTACCTGTAGTCCCAGCTACTCAAAAGCCCGAAGTGGGAGGAGGTCAAGGCTGCAGTGAGCTATGACTGTGCCACTGCACTTCAGCCTGGGCAAGTCAGACCCCAAACCAAAAAAAAGGAAAGAAAAGTATATCTTAGCTGGGCTCGGTGAAAGGCACAGGGAACAGTCAGAAGAGAGTCTCCCAAGATGGCGCTAAAACACTATATGGAACCTAACAAAGACAACAAAGGCCCTAAATTCCTGCTCTCCCTGCGCGCACGAAACTTAAACCTCTACACAAATATTATCTCCCTATAGTAATACTACTTCATAGCTCCCTCCAATAAAGACCCTAAGCTGGCACCGCCAGGCTCCTATAGAGCACTGCCACCCCCTCCCAAACCAATAAATACAGACCTCTCTCGCCCTGGCACTCTCTCTCCCCCTTCCCTACCAGGTGATTGCAGACCTTCTTTTCTCTCTCTATAGCTGCTGCTCTAATAAATCTCTTGGCCTCAAAGGGTGTTGAGTCTCACTGGCACCATCCTCCTTCACTTGGTGGCTCAGCCTGTAATCCCGTGCTTTGGGAGGCTGAGGTGAGTGGATTGCCTGAGCCCGCAGGTTCGAGACCTGCCTGGGCAACTTGGCGAGACCTCACCTCTGCAATAAATCAAAAAATCAGCCGGGCGTGGTAGCGCATGCCTGTAATTCCGGCTGCTCGGAAGGCTGAGGCGGAAGGATCGCCGGAGCCCAGCAGGTCGAGGCTGCGGTGGCCGGGAGCGGCCACTGCACTCCAGTCTGGGCGACGGAGTGAGACTCCAACTCAAAAAAAAAGAAAGAAAAGTATATCTTATCCAAACAGAGAGATGATATGATAATTTCGCTAATGTTTATTGTGTTGAACAAATAAGATTTGCAAAATACTAAAATTCAGTGTGCCACTAAATGTCCAAATCCCTGCCCACCAGTTCTCTTTAATAAGCAGCTAAGTCATCTTGACTGTGTCAGAGGGAGATATCAGTGAGCAGGGATCTCTCCCTGCTCCCAGAGTGTAAACAAGTAAAGAAAGGCTGATAATTCCCAACATGGAAGTTTCCCTTTCTTTTCTTTTTTTTTTTGAGTTGGAGTCTCACTCTGTCACCCAGACTGGAGTGCAGTGGCCGCTCCCGGCCACCGCAGCCTCGACCTGCTGGGCTCAGGCGATCCTTCCGCCTCAGCCTTCCGAGCAGCCGAAACTACAGGCGCACGCTACCACGCCCAGCTGATTTTTTGATTTATTGTAGAGATGAGGTCTCGCCAAGTTACCCAGGCAGGTCTCGAACCCGCGGGCTCAGGCAATCCACTCACCTCAGCCTCCCAAAAGCGCGGGATTACAGGCTGAGCCACCGAGCCCAGCTGGAAGTTTCCCTTTCCAAAGGCAAGATTTAATGTTTGACCTATGTTCATCACAAAAAAATAAGAGAAGAATATGAGAAGGCCACACCTTAGAACTTGTCGAACTCTTGGAATGGTGTGTGGGACAAGGGGCGGGTACCTGCAGGCCTGATGGGACATGAAGAAAGGGATTAATGCCCCAAAAGAAAAAGTGAATGACCTGTGACCAAAAACAACTCTGGGAATTTTTGTCTTCCTTGTTACTTGGTCAAAAACTTACCTTCAGGTGGCCAAAAAAGTCCACAGTGATTGTTATTTATTTGGACACTCTTCTGATATCCAGTGACATATCAGTGATGAAAGTCTGTGATAGAGACCTCATGTAAACAAAGACATGAGGATACAGTGACCTGGTGAATTTTCATGGATGTACATGTTGTGACGGTCAAAGCAAAGGCTTTAATCACTAAACTGTAAATGCTTGAGGGCCAAGACCATATCTGGTTTGTTGCAGAATCTCTCATGCTTTGTGAACCGTCTGGTTCAAAGAGAGCTCAGTAAATGTTGTAGAATAAACAAGTGGAAAAATTCCCATTATTATTTTATTTTCCTACTCTATTTTAGTATATAAGCTAAATATTAAGAAGTCTTAAACTGGGGCTATTTTAGAGTCAGTAAGATGCAGTAGAAAGAACTAGGGAAAATGGATTCTATTCTAGAAAAGCAGGCCAGTCACTTCACTCTAGACCTGGAGTCTGCTGTGGAATGAGGAATTCAGCTGACCATCAGAGCTCCTGGAAGTATAAATTCTGGGCTCCATCCCAGGAAAGTCCAACATGGTGCATCTGGAGTGACACCAGGTGTCTGTATTTTTAAGGGAGCTCCCTAAGTGATTCTGACACTCAGCAAGGTTTGAGAACCCCTAAATAAAATGTTTTTTAAAATTCTTACCAGCTATGAAATGCCATGTCTCATGGGACTGTGACCTAAACATCAAAACACTCAACTATTTTCCCCCCATAGGCTACTGAAAGCATTAAAATGCTGGTGACATTGTGTCAGTCTGATACTGAAGAAATCAGAAATGTGGCCTCAGAAACCCTCTTGTCTCTTGGTGAGTTTTTTGGTTTTTGTTTTCTTACATGGTTGTTTACTTCCGATACTCTCAAAAGGAACAGTGAAGGCTTCTTGTTTTAGCAGTCTTTTCCCCTGTAAGTGCTCTACTCATACACACACATAATAAGAGAAACTGATTATGGCCACATCACCCCAAATCCTTGTTTTGTCTGGATGCTGTGAGTAAGGTTTATTCTCTGGAGTCTTTCTATATGGGCTATGTACTACTTGGAATCAGAACACAGACGTTAAATCCTAAAGCAGAGGCAATAAGGAATCTAGGTGGGGTTGCCAGGGTGGGGGTTGGTACTCTCTGGAGGACAGTGATTGTTTGAGGTACCAGGAATGCATCTCCAGAAAAGTTGTAAATCCTCAGTACCTCAGCTTCACCCGGACTCCCAGGATAGCCTCTGATGGTCCTGCTGACCTTTGCCCACCCGAGTCCTGACACCAAAGAAAAGAACTGGAGTATTTTTTAAATTCTACAATGTCCAGGTAACCCTTCCCCTTCACTTTACTTTATAAAGGTTCTTTTTCGGAACTTGGAAATGTGGGGCAAGCCTTTTTAACTCAGTATTTAAAAAAGCATTGACCAAGCACAGTGGCTCATGCCTGTAATCCAGTACCTTGGGAGGCCAAGGCGGGTGGATTGCTTGAGCCCAGGAATTCAAGACCAGCCATATAATGAGATCTCATCTCTATAAAAATAAATAAATAAAATAAAATAAATTTTAAAAGCATAAATACTAGCCTAGATAACATCTCTAAAAAAATCTTTGTTGGTTTAAATTAGCCAGCCATGGTTGTACCTGTCTGTAGTCCCAGCTACTCAGAAGGTTGAAGTGGGAGGATTACTTGAGCATAGGAGTTCAAGGCTGCACTGAGCTAAGAGTATGCCACTGCACTCTAGCCTGGGCAACAGAGCAAGACCCTCATCTCTTTAAAAAAAAGAAAAAAAAAGGAAAAAATATAAATAGTTGTTATAAATAATTTTTTCTTTTTTTCTTGTTTCTTATAAATGAAGTTACAAAACTTGAATGTTATTATTTAACAAGAAGAATCAGGTAGGAAATGCAGTGGCAAACATTCTGATACAAAATACAGTTTAACATATAGAACATCTGGGAACAATATGAAAAAAATTAAGGATTGAGACTCATATGAAGAAGTTTTATAAGTTATAAAACTTCATCAAAGATCATAAAAAGGGGAGACCAAATGAAGAGTCTCACTTTGTTCTAGTGTAAATCATCACTCTGGTAATGCTCTTATTCTCTGAGCAAATCTATATGCTTAATACAAAGTCAATTACATTTTTAATTCAATTATTTAAACTTCAACCAAAAATAAATAGTAAGAAAAAAATTCTGAAGGGGAGCAACAATAGGGAAGAGTACAGAACAGCCAGATATTGAAAGGCAAGGAATACAAGATGGCCAATAAACATTTGAATAGATGCTGTACTACACTAGTAATCAAAGACATACAAATTAAAATAAGAATGGGAATTCTTTTTTTGCTATGAAAATTTTAAGTTATCCAGTGTTTGATAGCTATGGGTATCAAGCATTCATATCCTGCTAAGGTAAAATGGGTATACATTTCTTGAGATAAAATTTGACAATGTATTTCAAAATTTTAAATGCACACACTTTTAGGATTATATAGTCAAGTATGAAGCATTGAATGACGTATGATGAGTCAATTGTTTTATCTTGGGATTTTTCCTATATAAACAATTAGGTGAGTGACTCAAAATACATGAACAAGAATATTCATTGAAGCTTTTTTTAATAAACAAAAAGAATACAGATACAAAGAAAGAAGAAAAAGTGATTTTTCTACAATATACTCTTAAAGTGTAAAAATGATACTCCTGAAAGTCCTCAAACATAATCTAGTCAATAATACAACCTGGAAAAAAGCCATCCTAGTTTGGGATAGTAGCTTAATAAAGTGAAAGAGAATCTCATGACATTTATAATCATCATAAAAATCCAATTCATTGTTAGGCCTTCTTTCTTACAGTTATGGGTTTAATAAGGTTTCATTCTTCTATTGAATATATCATTCATTGCACAGAAATCTTAGACATCATATGTTTGTTTAAAGGATAAAACAGTTATTTTTGATGGCTATTTTAGGCATAGAAATTATCTAATTCTCTTAAAATGTACTCAGGGTGTTATTAGTTTAAACTCTTTTATTGACCGGGCTTGGTGGCTCAGCCTGTAATTCCAGGACTTTGGGAGGCCGAGGCGAGTGGATTGCCTGAGACTGCTGGTTCAAGACCAGCCCAGGCAACTTGGTGAGACCTTGTCTCTACAATAAATCAAAAATTAGCCGGGTGTGGTAGCACACGCCTGTAGTTCCAGCTACTTTGGAAGGCTGAGGCAGGATAGCCAGAGCTCAGCAGGTTGACGCTGGGGCGTCTGTGAGTGTGCCACTGCACTCTGGCCTGGGTGACAGAGTGAGACTCCAACTCAAAAAATAAAAATAAATAAACTCTTTTATTCCTTAGTATTCCAAAATAACAATGATGGTAAGTCAGGCATTTGCAAAGCCAACGAAGCTTCTATCTCCAGTGCACCCTAAGGAAGTTGATCCCTACAGAATGTGCCCCAGGACTCACTTGAACTGCTCACACCAGACCCACGTCCACACATGCACCAGTGTGCAGTTCTCAACATTGGCTGCACATTGGAATTATCAGGGAAACTTAAAACATAGCCATGCCTGGGTTCCACTCCCAAAGATTCTGCTTTCATTGATCTGAAGTGTTTCTTAGCATCAGTTTGTTTGTTTTTGTTTTTTTTTACAATAGTTAAAAGCCTCCCAGATTATTCTACTATGAAGTTTGAGAACCCTTTAAACTCAATGTTATGAATCTTTTTTTTTAAACTCTAATACACAAATACTGGTACATTTTTCTTTCACACAAATGCCTGAATTAATATTGTGAAAGTAATATTTTCAATGGGAATTGATAAGATACCTGATGACAAGGCTCGCTCATGCCTGTAATCCCAGAACTTTGGGAGGCCAAGGCAAGAGGATTGCCTAAACCAAGGAGTCTGTGACCAACCTGAGCAACTTGGGGAGGCCTCATTTCTACAATAAGTCAAAAATTAGCTGGGCGTGGTGGTGTGCACCTGTAGTCCCAACCACTTGGAAGGCTGATGTGGAAGGATCACCTGAGCCCATCAAGTTGAGGCTGCAGTGGTCAAGAGCATGCCACTGCACTCCAGCCTGGGTAACAGAGTGAGACTATGACTTAAAAAAAAAGATCCCTGTGACAAAGTACAGAAGGTCATTGCAGGCATTCAAAGGGCTCAGAGCCACAATTGTTTATCAACCAGTATGGGATCACGTCCGTATTTTAGCCTTGACCTGTCAATATATTCCCCTGTGATGATGTGAATGTTCTATGTATGCATTGTCCAATATGACAGACAGTAATCATATGTGGCTATTGAGCAATTTACCTTGGCTGCTGTGACTTAATTTTAAATACAGTTGTTCCTTGACTATAATGAGGTTACCTCCTAATAAACCTATTGTAAGTTGAAAATATTGTTAAATAGAAAATGCATTTATTGCACCTAACCTACAGAATATCATAGCTTATATTAGCCTACCTTAAACATGCTCTGAAACTTGCATTAGCTTACAGTTGGGCAAAATCATCTAACACAATGCTTATTATACAATAAAATGTTGAATATATTATGTAATTTATTGAATACTGTACTGAAAGTGAAAAACAGAATGGTTTTATGGGTAGAATGGTTTTTACTGAATGCATGTGGCATTCGTACCATTGAAGTCAAAAAAGCATAAGCTGAACATTTGTAAGTCAGAGATCATCTGCAATTACCATTTAAATTCAGCCTTTCTTCTTGGCTGGGCATGGTGGCTCATGCCTGTAACCCCACACTTTGGAAAACCGAGGCAGAAGGATTGCTCGAGACCAGTAGTTCGAGACCAGTCTGGGCAACATAGCAAAACCTCATCACTACAAAAAATTTTTAAAAACTAGCCAGGTATGGTGGCACACGCCTGTAGTCCCAGCTACTCAGGAGGCTAAGGCAGAAGGATCACCTGAGCCCAGGAACTCAAGGCTGTGGTGACCCATGATCATGCCACTGCACTTCAGCCTGGGTGACAGTGAGACTTCAACTCAAAAAAAAAACACCAATTCAGCTTTTTGTTTTATTGAAAGGTTTCTGTTTCCAGAGACTACAATACTGTAAAATCCATAATTACACTATTCTTCTAAAACCCCCTGATATCAATATATTTTCACCATTATGTGAATCTTTTATTACTGTTTTCCCTCACAGTGAACTTCTGATTGAGCACAACTAATCCTTTCCATCTGTGTCTCACTTGTATTAAATGTAAAAAGAGCTGCTTCTTTTCACTTGTCTCTGTGCTTCATTTTCCCATTTTCTTTTTTTTTTTGAGTTGGAGTCTCACTCTGTCGCCCAGACTGGAGTGCAGTGGCCGCTCCCGGCTACCGCAGCCTCGACCTGCTGGGCTCCGGCGATCCTTCCGCCTCAGCCTTCCGAGTAGCCGGAATTACAGGCACGCGCTACCACGCCCGGCTGATTTTTTGATTTATTGTGGAGATGAGGTCTCGCTGCCCAGGCGAGTCTCGAACCCGCGGGCTCAGGCAATCCACTCACCTCAGCCTCCCAAAGGCGCGGGATTACAGGCTGAGCCACCGAGCCCGGCTGATTTTCCCATTTTCTAATCATTGTTTTAAAATAGAAAAATAGAATAAAATATTTAAATTATTTGCAAACACATCTTGATTGTTCAAGATATTGCTACATACAAAACCAAACTAGCTGGTGGCTGGTAGAAAGTATCTCCATATGTTTGCATAGCAAACTAATTTTTTAGCTGAAGTTTGATGAGATCAGGCAGGTTCAGGGTGGTATTGCAGTAGACTTTTAGCTGAAGTTTGAAAGCCTCAATTTGCCTTTTACCAATGATCATTTAGATGTATCAATATAAATGTATACATGTAAAAGTCCAATGTATTGAAGTCAAGGATCCACCATATTGAAATCCCTAATACACCCAATAATCCATATGATTGCTCAGAAATAAATCTATTATGAGGTATTATCTATGTCAAATGACCATAAGACTTCTACTTTGTTTCCTACCCTGGCATTCTTTTGGTCTCTGGCAAAAAGAGAAAAAAACAGCTCAAAAGTTTTTGGTTGTTCTAAACATTACCTAGAAAATAGTGACATAATTAACAATAACAGATGGCTTTTCCCTACCTAATGTTAGCATGGCATATCATAGCAATTCATACCTAAACAATTTATATTAACTTATTTTGAGTCATCAATAAAAAAGTTAAGTTTGCATTGGTATTCATATTTAATGCTCTATATTCAGGAGAAGACGGACGGCTGGCATATGAGCAGTTGGACAAATTTCCTCGAGACTGTGTTAAAGTTGGAGGTCGTCATGGAACTGAAGTTGCCACAGCCTTTTAATTATAAGTTAACTTTGCCTAACAACTGTCTTAATATCTGGCCCTTTTCATCAAGGTGGTGCTGTGGTTTAGCTGAAAGTGTTGAGAACATGAAGGTTCTGCTATGGTTATCTGGATATTTAGCATGTTATAGAAAGAATTCAAAGTTTAGTTACACAGTACTAAGCTACTTTTCCTTTGACCGATAGAATAGGGCTATGTATAATTCAATAGATTACATTGTTGATTGTGTCTGACAGTACTCAGTATGAGTCCTTCTTAATATGTATGAAATTTTAAAATAGCCATCTTTGTACTTTTTTGCAAGTTCTTCTATAAGCTTGAACTAGTCATGCGATACTTTGATAAATATCATATGCCTTGCAGTTTTTCTCTGTCGTGTTCTCAGGGTTGCATAGCCCCCTTAGCTACCTAATCTTACTTTCAATACAAAGCACAAAAAAGAATGTCTTCAGATAAAATTTGCCTGCAGATCCTGGCAAAATGACCCATTGTAGGAATTTAATTTTTTAATTTTATTTTTTTAAGCTCCCACTATTTATTTTGTTTCTTCCATCCTGAAAATTCCAAAATCATGTTTCTATTATGGTAAAAATATAGGTAGCTGAGTAAGAACTACCTTATTACCCATACTCTTAAAAACAAAAAACTCAAAGCTTAAGTTTTTTTTTCTTAAATTAACGAGACCTATTTTTAATGATACTCTTACCTTTGAGGTATTTTGCTGCTAAGATAAATCAAAACCAAAAGTTATGGATTCACAAAGCTGTGATGCTCTTTGAGGTGGAAGAGCCCAGAAGTTGGAGGCCTCCTAATGGGATTGGAGTGGAGTATTAAAAGTGATCCCTGCTTCTGCAAAAATGACCATGAGATTAGGAAGAAGAAGGGTGCCCTGAGGGGTAGTTACTGCCCCCAGAGAAATCATTCCCTGGTTGAATTCCCTAGCCAAATAGTTCAAACAACAGTTCCCATTATTGCTTCAGAGTACCAAATTTCTCAAAGTACCAAGTCCAATAAACAAAGTATAAAACCATTCAGTAGCTCTTATTAAGTATCTTTTCTTCTTCTAAAGAATAAAGGTCAGGTATGCCAAGGTATCACAACAATATATGTGAGTGTATACTGTGGAATATCAACTGTACTCTAGATATGATTATATAAAATATCATTTAGATGTAATTTTAAATATTTACATTTTAGCAAGACTTTTAAAAAGGACTTAATTTCATTTTAAAGTGAAAACTGTTTGCCAGGGTTCTGGCAAATAGTTATTTCAACTGTGAAGTTATAATGTACATATGTGTATATTTATAAATATTATATATATGCATATATCCTTCATTTTAAAAGGTACATTGTACAGTCAATAGTCAGTTTGTATAGTCTATAGTCTATGTTAAATGGTTAAAACAATTATTTTATAGGAAGTCAAGTCACAGATGTTGCAGACTTTTTTGTTTGGTTTGCTGTTGTTTTTTTTTATTATTTTTTTGAATATTGCATGAGTAATTAATTCCATATCTTTTTTATTCTCTTCTGTATTTTATGTTTGGTTGAGGGGTGCTTTTAATTTTTTGGCATTTGTATTCATCACTCTTTCAGTCATGTAAGTTAAAATAAAAATTATTTTTGAATTATTAGTCTCATGTACAGAGTCTGATATATTTTTTTCACATGCCTTTCCTGAGTCGGTTTTACACAACACCCTACCCCTCATTCTCAACTTGATTTTATTTTTATTTTGAAATTCCTTTATCTATAAATAGGGATTATAAATCTCAGGCTTGTTGTAAAGCTAATTGGAGAGAAAAGAGCTGTGTTTCACAGTTGTATCAATGAGCAGAGACACTGAACTCCTTGGGGAAAAAAAGCTCTCGTTTATTTGTATGTGTTCCCAGCCCAAAACCCCACCAGCATCATCACAAGACGCCCCTGACTTTCAACTCTCAAAGCATTTACCAAGTGACTCATTAAATACCAGTGATTGCTTATATTGAGTCAGTGGTAAAAATGTCTTCCCCTACAAGTTTTGTTGCTATGCCGTTTAACAAAATTAACTTAGTTACTTTACAAAATTATAACCTAAAATTGTAAACCTAAACTCATTGGAAAATGCCAGTGCTTTCTCATTATATCAGAAAAACAAATTACTCAAATAGAAAAAACATCTTTTTATACCTGTCATTTTCCTACAGATAGTACCTCTTATTAAACGATATTATTTTTTGATTTTGAGAAAGCCCTAAGTACACCTTGTTCGGGGAAAATCGTTGTTTTCTAAAATTAGATCTCTAACTTCCTATTTATTCAACAAGTATCTATGGCATATTTACTATGAATAAGGTTTGTGCCAGGGACTGTTCTCGGCACTGGAGATACAGCAGTAAAAAAAAAAAAAAAGACATAAACATCCCAGCCCTCCCAAGCCTTATATCCTGGCAAGGGAAGACAATAAGGCAGAAAAAGGGACTAACGATGGTATGAGAAGGGGTGAGGGGAGGTAAGGTGAGGGGACAAAGGTCACAAGTTTGAAGAGAGTGGTCAAGGAAGGCCTCACAGAAAATTAGATTTGAGGAATGATCTGAGAAGTTAATGGGGGTGAGTCACATGGATTGTCTGGGAAGAACATTCCAGGCGAAGGCAACTGAAGGAGACCAAAATATTCCTGTCTGCAATACTGGGGGTTTTAGTTAAAGTTAAAAGGTTAAAACACAGGGCCACACTCCACCACTCTTCTCTGTCTTTGTTGGAGCTCAGAGACAGCGTTGCCAGAGGATCCAGGAAGACTTTACTCTTCCCATAAATTTACCTTCCCACATTTTCCTGCCTTTTGGATACCTGAAGATACCTTCTTTGTCTGTCACTATATAGGATTTATGGCACTTTGATAAAAATACAATTTAAGCAAGGCCCCTAAGCCACTGCCTGGAGAAATCCGTGTGAACTGAGGCCTCTCCTGCATGGTGGGTGCAGCACGCGATAATAAACTTCGGCTTGTTTTTCTTTTGTTAATCTGACTTTTCATTTCAGGAAAATGCCTCAAACTAAGGGGGCTCTTTGTAGTTTCATACCCATAGACGCCGAACTGCAGGGTACTTGTGATGCTGTACTGAAGCCAAAGCCGTACCTCCCTGATGGCCCCTCCTGCCAGCTGGGCCCCTCAGATGAGAATTGCACCCAGGCCAACACCAGCAGCTCAGCTCCCAGCAGCAGCCCCATACCTGCAGTTGGCTCACCTGCTGCTGTTCCCCAGCTAGGTGATGGCCCAGATGGCAACCACTGCAACTGGCGTGGCTGTGGGCTCTGCTGCCCAGCACACGCTGGGTCATGCCATCCCTGGGGGCTTCAGTGGAGAAACCCTCAAGGCCGACATCCTTTACCAGGAAGCTCAGGAAGCCTAGCCCACACAGCAGCAGTAGCCTTGCTTTTACAAGATAAAACAGTTTTCGGAGTGTGCCCAGAACCAGGGTAACATAAAGCTCTGTGAGTGTTTCAAGGAGGTGCTGAAATAGTACAGACTTGCAAACAGGTTAGCCTAATCAAGAAGTTCAGGTTGAAGAAATTGAAAAGTGGCTCTCATGACCAAGTTAATTTAGCATAAAAACACAATTGATAATGACGGTATAAAGTGTAAAACCATCAGTTAAACCTCTACTCTGTCATTCATAGCTTCCTTGCTTCAAAATTACAGTGGAAGAGGTTCTTACTGTGTATAATTTCATTGAGATGGTGTAATATTTTGGGCTGGGCAAATGTCTGTATGGCCTCCTTAAGCCAGCTGTTGTGATTTTGTTATTTTTGTGAGTTAGAATAAAGTGGTTTTCTTCCCCCTCCAAAAAAAATGGAACAAAAGAAATTACGTTTCCTCCCCCGTAAAACAGTAAGGTCAAAGGCCTTGAAAAGGAGCCATGCTTGGTGTTTTGAAATTTCTAGTACCCACATTTTAAAAAAAGTTTAAAAAATTAATTTTAATAATATATTTTCTTTAACCTAATATAACTAAAATATTTCAAAATGTAATCAATATAAAAATTGAGGCACTTAACATTTTTTCTATAAGTCTTTAAAGTCTAGTGTGAATTTTATACTTACAGAACATCTCAATTCAGACTAATCGCATTTCAGATAATAACCCCATGTGTCTAGTGGCTACTGTATTGGACAAGAAAAGACTTCCCTAATTGTCCCAGTAATACCCTTTGTAGCATACACACACACAGAGAAATACACACACGTATGTAAACAGTATCCAACCATGGATTATGTTTTTAATTTAGATGTCATGTCTCTCAGGCTTTTTTAATCTAGCAGAATAACTCCATTTTTTTTCTTTTTAAAAACTTTCACACATTAATATAGGAAGAGCACAGACAGGTATATTTTGTAAAATTTGGGATATATTTTGAAGTGGAGTCAATAGGTTTGTTGATAAGTTGGAAATGGGATGTGAGACAAATAGAAGCCAAAGATGAATCCAAAATGTTTTACTTCAACAACTAGAAGGATGGAATGCTGTCTTCCAAGACAGAAAAACTGAGAAACAGCAGGTTTAAAGAGGAAGACCAGAAACTGTTTTGAACATGTTAAATTTGAGAAACCTCTTAGACATCCAATTGGAGATATCAAACTGGTAATTGACTCTGAGTCTGAAGTTCAGATGAGAGGTCTAGTCAAAAATAAAATTGGTTGGAGCATGGTGGCTCATGTCTGTAATCTCAGTGCTTTGGGAAGCCGAGGCAGGAGGATTGCTTGAGGCCAGGAATTTGAGACCAATCTGGAGAATGTAACCATACCGCATCTCTACAAAAAAAAATGAAAAAAAAAAAATTAGCTGAGCGTAGTAGTGTGCACCTGTAGTCCTAGCTACTTGGGAGGCTGAGGTAGGAGGATCACTTGAGTCATGGATTTCAAGGTTGCAGTGAGCTATAATCACACCCCTGCACAACAGCTAGGCAACACTGTCTCTCAAAAAAATTTTAAATACTTAAAAATGGCCCACTGTGGTGGTTCATGTCTGTAACCCCAGGCCAAGGTAGGAGAATTGCTTGAGTCCCACAGCCTGAAACCAGCCTGGGCAACATAGTGAGGACTCTCTCTACAAAAAAAATATTAGCTGAGCGCAGTGGTATATGCCTGTGTTCCCAGATACTCAGGTGCCTGAGGCAGGAGGATGGCCTGAGCCCAGGAGGTTGAGGCTGTAGTGACCCATGATAGTGCCACTGTACTCCAGCCTGGACGACAGAGTAAGAATCTGACTCAAAAAAAAAAAAGAGAGATAAAAGAACCAAGCCTTGGGGCACTCCAATATTTGGAGGTCACAAAGAGAGATGGAACCAGCAAAAGGAGAATGAAGAGTGGCCAATAGGAGACAACCAAGAGTATGATATCTTAGAAGCTAGATGGAAAAAAAAATGTTTCAAGGAGAAAGAAGTGTCAAAAGTCAAAAACTAAAAACTGGATTCAGTAGAACAAAGGTCATTGGTGACCCTGTCAGGCTATTCCAAAGGAATCATGAGGTTGAAATCCTATTTGGAAGTTCATCCAAGAAAGGATGAAAAAAGACTAGAGGCAGTGAGTATGGTAACTCCTGAAAAAGCTTTACTGTATAGGGGAGCAGAGAATGAATGTACAGTAGCTGAGGGGAGAGGGTAAGTAGGGTCAAGAGAGTTTATCTATCTATCTATCTAGCTATCTATCTGAGTCAGTCTTACTGTCACCCAGGCTGGTATGCAGTGGCATGCTTATGGCCACTGAAGCCTCGACCTGCTGGACTCAGGTGATCCTTCCACCTATGACTTCCAAGTAGCTGGAACCACAGGTATGTGCCACCACACCCAGCTAATGTTTTGATTTACTGTAGAGACGAGGTCTCATCAAGTAGCCCAGGCTGGTCTCGAACCCCTGGACTCAGACAATCCTCTCATCTCTGCCTCCCAAAGTGCTGGGATTACAGGTGTAAGCCACCATGCCTGGCCAGTTTTTTTATTTTTTAATGGGGAAAAAAAAACATAGCATGTTTGTTGCTGATGCAAAGGATCCAGTTGAGACGGAAACTGCCAGGCCAAGAGAAGAATTGTAGAGCAATGTTTTTGGGTGGGGTAAGAGAGGTTGGCTGAAATTTACTGCACAAATGGAGAGAGTATCCATAGGAAGAGAAGGAAAGTCAGAGGCGATAGAAACAGATGGGGGTGGATGCCTCGGTGAGAGTTATAGAAGTTCTCTTTTGATTGTTTCTGTGTTCTCAGCAAAGTAAGGTAACTCTATGATGTAGGGAAGAATTCTGATTAGGTAGCAAATAAGCAGAGGGGCATAATACCACAAAAGATGGTTGGAAAGAAGCTCAGTACATGTTGGAATAGTCAAAGTACAATAAGCAAGTTCCAAGGAAGCACTGCCTAAGCAAAGGTGCAAAAAGTGTTGGGGGAAACCAGTTTAAATTGAGATTTTGTATACCAGAGACGTGAAAGTGAACTTGAGTTAGTTCACATTACAGAAGGCCTTTAATGCCAGGTTGAAGAATGTAGACATATATTGCCATCCCCTGGTTTGTATATTCCATTCTAGTGTTGCTAAGTGATGCATTCCAGAGTTTTTGGCTATTAGCTCCTGTTCTTGCCAGCCTGTACCTGAAGTACCACGGGTCTTTTTATACAATGGCTAAGAGACAGTTTTGTGGTGTATGGGTTTGGATTAAGGTGCATCGATTTTTTATGGGGTTGTGTCAGCACCTCCATTATTTCTGGAGTGTCATTGTGAAGGATTTTTTTGTCAAGAAGGAGGAAGAACAAGTCCCTTCAGATGATGCTATCTTTCACAAGGAAAAAATTGTGGTACTTGGGCAAATGTTGAAGGATAAATCTCTACCCATTGAAAAGAGAGCTCAGGCTGCCCAGAGAATTGGACTGTTGGCCTTCACAGGTACTGATTCAACCCACTACACAAAAATAGATGTTCCATAATCTTTTTGTTTGTTATAACACTGTAATCCAGTTATTTTTCTTAGGCCTAGTCTTAAAATTCCAAAAACATTTCATTTGATAAAATTATTCATTGAATCTATTATCATTGTTTTTATCTTTGCACTGCTACATATCACTATTTTCTCCTCAAAGAGCTCATGCTTTAAAAGAATATGTCCATCAAATAAATTACTAACTAAATGTTTCCCGTTTTTATGAATTAAAAAATATATATATTGAAACTGCCTATCAAGTTTCTCACATTAAAAAAATCAAAGGGGCTATACTGAGTTGGTAAAATCCCAACCTAGTAATACGATCCAACCTAGTGATATGATTCCAATCAGATTCCAATATGATACTTTACCTTTTAACTTTATTTTATGCATTGCACAGAAAATATATTAGAAAAATCAATAAGACCTTAATGCTCTAGAAACACCTATTAGATAAGACAAGGTGAATCAGTGAAAGACAATATTTAATGTATATTTGACTAGAAAATGGTGAGAAAGCATTTAAACACACACTGCTCTAATGATTGTCAAGTCCAAACTCACTCCAGTTGTTTTTTTTTTTCCAAATAAATTTAGGATATATAATGAGTTTGGAGGTTTTGTTTTGTTTTGAGTCAGAGTCTCACTCTGTTGCCCAGGTTGGAGTGTAGTGACAAGATCATGGATTTTGCAGCTTCAACCTCCTTCTGGGCTCAGGTGGTCCTTCTGCTTCAGCCTTCTGAGTAGCTGGGACTACAGGCGCATGCCCCCATGTCTGGCTAATTATTTCATTTATTGTAGAGATGAGGTCTTGCCATGTTGCCCAGGCTGGTCTCAAACTCCTGGACTTAGGCAATACTCTCATCTCTGCCTCCCAAAGTGCTGGGATTACAGGCATGAGCCACCACTCCCGTTCTTATAATGAGATTTTATAGATAGTCCTCAATAACACATTTCTTAATAAGAAACTCTAGCTGGCAGCTATAAGTGTCTTGGATTTTTTTTAAGTGGGAAAATGAATTACTTAGATGTAGTTTGATAGACTAAATCTCTCAAAGAATGGCACTCATGAGAGAAAACTAAAAGAAGTCCTTGGTACCAGAATGGTTGGGAACCACTGGCACAGAGCTGGAAAGGAGACAGGAAAACCACAGATACTCCCGTGGGTAAATGTATAAACGTGTATATGTCACCCCCACATGGGGCAGGTTCAGTTCCCCATGTAGCTGTATTTACCATCTGAGGGAAGAGCTAGTTCCTTACAAAAGGATCCAAATTATTTAGTTTGACGTTATTCAGCCTTAGCTGTTCTGGTGGGAAGCAAGGAAGGGGCTTCTGCTCAGGCTTCAGCTAAAGCTTTAATGTTGAATAGAACATTCTTAGGACCATGGGACTGTGGCAGTATAAGCAAGAGAAATCCATGCAGGAGCAAAACTCCAGTAGAAAGAATCTGACTGGCTATGCCAGCTACTCCTCACCATCTAAAAAGTCTGCATCTATGTCTTCTTGGCTAGAACCTGTTGGAGTTGAGATTTGAACTAGAAAGGTCCGGGGCTCAGGTATATGGTGAAAGTAGAGTCTAGGACCAGGCTGGGTCAGTAGCCAAAGTGAGAAAAATCTTTTGAGGCTATGTTGGTCTCATATCTACGAAAGAGTTTGGGCAAGAAATGTGTAAGAACAGGACAGCTGTGGATAGCCACTCAGGAAAACCTCTCCTAGTTGTCTCTCCTGACTTTGCTGCTCAGCTTTTTGATTTGTTCTTGGCTCTGATACTCTGGTATCCTTCTGGGTTTTCTCCAGCACTAAAGGCAGAGAATCCAGAATGAGACCATGAGGGAGATTTGCTAAGTGAACACAGCCAGGTTTTATTCACCTTGAAATCTCACTCCTGGGTGTTTGATTAAAGGAACTAGGCAGGAGACTCGGGCAGGCCGAGACCTTCCCATGCTTTTCAGAGCACTCCTTGCTTGTCAACACACACTTTTCTCATCTTCAAGGCAGCAGCATAGGAAATGGGGGAAAAGAGACAAGAAAATTCAAAGTTTTCAAAGTGTCATATGTATGGCAACAAGAATATGAACACAAGACCGGGTACAGTGGCTCATGTCTGTAATCCCAGCACTTTGGGAGGCCAAAGTGGGAGGATTGCTTGAGCCCAGGAATTTGAGACCAGCCTAGGCAATAACACAGAGAGACCTAACCTCCATCAAAAAATAAAATAAAATAAAATAAAACAAAACATAGCCAGGCATGGTGGCAAGTGCCTGTAGTCCCAGCTACTCAGAAGGCTGAGGTGGAAGGGTCACCTGAGCCCAGGAAGTCAAAGTTGTGGTGAGCCATGATTATGCCACTGCACTCCAGCCTGGTTGACAGAGTGAAACCTCGCCTGGAAAAAAAAAAAAAAAAAAAGACCGGGCTTGGTGGCCCAGCCCGTAATCCCAGCACTTTGGGAGATTGGGGTAAGTGGATTCCCTGACCCCGCAGGCTTGAGACCAGTCTGGGTAACTTGGCAAGACCTCATCTCTACGATAAATAAAAAATTAATCAGGTGTGCCTGTAGTCCTGGCTACTTGGAAGTCTGAGGTGGAAGGATCGCTAGAGCCCAACAGGGTCAAAACTGAGCGACAGAGTGCGACTTTGAGTCAAAAGAAAAAGAATATGAACACATATGAGCGCTCCAGAGTGTTACTATTAAATACACTAAATATTTACGGAAATGCAAATGCTTGTTCTACAGGAGGACCAACTGCTGGAAATTTTGCAGCCGAATACATGCAAGAAGTATCTCACTTGTTGCAAAATTATGAAGTGGCACCAAAAATAAAGATCCTGCTGCTCCAGGGTATAGCTTGTTGGTGCTACTTAGACCCTGAGAGCCAGACAAGAGCCAAACATCTGCAGTTTATTCCCATTCTCCTTAGTTTTTTGGAAAGTAGATCTGAGTCTACTATCAAGGGTGAAATAAACAGCAACCTCCTCCTGCAGTTTTGGACTTGTTACGTGCTCTCTATCATGACGTGCAATAATGTGTCTATCATCAAGGAGCTTAGAGGCCACAGTACTCTAAAAGATAATTTACTAATGTTGGCTCCAGAGAATTGGTCTGGATGGCCAGAGAATTTTGCAGAGGTACTGTTTTTCCTGCTTGGTTTTCACAGGAGTTAGTTTCTCTTAGTCCAGTTATATGTTGCAGCTATCTGTGCCATTGTACTACCCTGGACAACAGAAATAAATAATAAAAGTTGATACATTCATTTTCAGTTTTTTTCTTCTGTAGTTAAAGAATTCTATGTAAATTTGCATACAGTGAGTTAACTGTAATAACCAAATTTTGGAAAAACACTGCTGTTTAAAATAACGTTCTAGATAGAGCCCTTCGAGTTAGCTCACGAGTGTGTCCTCTCCCACTGGGAAATAAAAATGTTAAAGCATGCAGTTAGATATGATGATGAGTATAAATACTTGTAAAATTATAGAGCTGGAATGCTATTTTTTGCCACCTACATAAGGACCAGAGAGAATGTTTCTCTCCAATATCTACCATTAAATCACGAAACTCTTATTTTCTAACATATCTCTCTTTGAAGTTGATTAAAAACATGTATTTTACAATTGATTTCCCATTTGGGGGAAAAATATCTATGCAGGTAAACTTCTTACCACATGCTTCTGTGTGGTAAAAATAAATAAATAAATAAAAATTATTCAAAGTAAAAACAAGGCTGAGCACAGAAACTCATGCCTGTAATCCCAGTGCTTTGGGTGGCTGAGGTAGGAGGACTGCGTAAACCCAGTCATTCAAGATCAGCCTAGGCAACTTAGCAAGAACTTGTCTCTACAAAGAAATCCAAAAAGTAGGCTGGGCTTGGTGGGTCAGCCTGTAATCCCAGCACTTTGGGAGGCCGAGGCAAGCTGATTGCCTGAGCCTGCTGGTTTAAGACAGCCCGAACAACTTGGCGAGACCTCGTCTCTATGATAAATCAGAAATTAGCCCGGCATGGTAGCACATGCCTATAGTTCTGGCTACTTGTAAGGCTGAGGAGAAGGATAGCCAGAGCCCAGCAGGTGGATGCTGGGGTGGCTGTGAGTGTGCCACTGCACTCCAACCTGGGCAACAGAGTTAGACTCCAATTAAAAAAAAAAAAAAATTCCAAAAAGAAGCCAGGTGTGGTTACTTGGGAGGCTGAGGTGGAAGGATCACCTGAGTGCAGGAAGAGGTCAAGGCTGCAGTGAGCCATGAGCATGTCACTGCACTGCAGCCTGGGAGACAGAGTGCGATTCTGAATTTTTTTTAAAAAAGTAAAAACAAAATGACAGCCGGGCTCGTTGGCTCAGCCTGTAATCCCGCGCCTTTGGGAGGCTGAGGTGAGTGGATTGCCTGAGCCCGCGGGTTCGAGAACCACCTGGGCAGCGAGACCTTATCTCTACAATAAATCAAAAAATCAGCCGGGCGTGGTAGCGCGCGCCTGTAATTCCGGCTACTCGGAAGGCTGAGGAGGAAGGATCGCCAGAGCCCAGCAGGTCGAGGCTGCGGTGGCCGGGAGCGGCCACTGCACTCCAGTCTGGGCGACAGAGTGAGACTCCAACTCAATAAAATAAAATAAAATAAAATAAAAAACAAAATGACCTCATAAAAATTAGGTTCCTAAAATGGCAATTTATCACACTACACATCACATATATAACTGTTAGGAGCAGTGGGTATACTTGGGAAGTTATTACATGATATGAAAGCCAAGGCACACAGAAGTGTCAAATCCTGCCCAACCCACAGTCGTCCCACATAGTGGTACTGTTGCCCCACCCAAATCCCTTCAACCCTGTACAGGACCTCCAGGGGC